GGGGGAAGGGAATTGGAAGAAGAACAGTGCCCGATGCGAAAGACCTGGTACGAGGCCGATTGGACGGGAGGCGGATTGAATCTCTTTCCCTGCTCGAAGGGAGAAAAGGGTCCTTCCTCTTTGGTGCGCTTCAATTAATTCATAGACGGAGCCAACAGCGGTGACATTGGGAGTCGGGCAGTCCAGCAGCACGTGAGGGCGCAGGCTGACAGCGCCTGCAGGGATCAGATGGCAGGAAGCGTAAAGGGCAGGCAGTAGCGCTGACGTCGACGACAGCAGACCACAGGCCTCGTGCAAGAGAAGAGAGCAGCGGAGGGGAGAGAACAGGGAATGCTCGACCAGCAACGAACGCTTCGTGGAGGAGGACAGGACGGTGGGAGTGGAGGGAAACGCCGAGGTCCACGCCCAGAGGAAGGGGAGAGGGAGAAAAAGAAACGAGCCGGACACCGGGGGGGGGGGGAAAGGTGGCAGAATTGGGAAGGTTCGCCAGGACGAGGACTAGCAGGAGGAAGGCAGTTGCTGCGAACGGTGTGGTTGCTGCGGGAAGGAGCGACGAGACGAGCCGGTGGGCGAGGAAGGAGCAGCAAAAGCGGCAGCGGCCACTCAAGAGGCAAGAGCCTGGCGCAAGCTCACGCCGCTGCCCACGCGGAGAGGGGAAGCCCCAGGGCGACATCCGGCAGTGGCTCGCTCGCGCGAACGCTGCTCCAAATCCACAGGTTAGGGATGCTCGCTAGCCGCATTGGCACGCTGCCCTTTTGCCTGTTATCGCGCCTGCTGCCGACGATTCCTTTTTGCTCCCCCTCCCTCTCCACTGCCCGTTCCCACTGCCTCGCTAGTCCGCCCATAATGGCGCTCGTGCGGACCCTGTCCCGGCACCGTCTCGGGGCCAGACACGACTGACAGTCTACCGAGTCCTTCTACGGCGTACGGAGCACACGGAGCGTACGGAGGTCCCCATCGCCTGGAGCTTGGACCATGGACCGCCAGAGGACGTCCCAGGATGGAGGAGCCCCGCCAGCAAATAATAAGAACGTGCCAGGCCTGAAGAGCGTCCAGAGGCTGTGACAGTTCTGTTTCGAGTGTCGCCTCTATACCAGATCCGGCACTGCTGCCATCGCCATGAGGATCGCGCTCCCTGCTCCTGCTCCTGCCATTAGCGGACCAACAGACACGGAGTGCCGGTTGCATCCGACCCGATCGAAGGGAAAAGAGCTAGGGGGGAGCATCCGGCAAGATACCTAGGTAGGTAGTCAGAACTACTGTCTTTTTTGCCTGTAGTCGCTGGATAACCATCGAAATCCAGAGAAACCGGGTGCTCTTCCTGGAATAGCATTATTTAATATTCACCCGATCCTCAACCTCTGCACCCGGACGAGACATTGTGTGGAGGATTCGACCTGGCTCGACGGAATACCAAAACTCGGTATCTATACTCCGTCCGGGCTGTCCTGTCCCGAGCCAGACCGACACAATGCCCCACCCCTCTGGCTGCGTCTGTGCACCGACGCAAAAAGAGGTCCTTGAAAATTCGACAGCCGCGTCGATGGAGTTGAATTTACATCTGCCGACGGCTTTGTATGCAGAAGAGAGCTCTGCTGCATATCCAGTACCGATACAGACACACAGATAATATGACAGGTCGGGATGGTTGCTGCGCCGCAGTGCCACCTGCCAGGACAGGCAGCATCCTGTTCAGACAAGGTGGCTAGAACGTGGAAAGCGATGGATCATCGTTGAACTGGTTCGAAGTGCTGCTGTAGGTTCTTCACTACTCCGGAGTACTCCTACGGTACTACCACCTAGCCGGTCGAATTGACGACATCCCAGGTTAGCTAGCAGAATGGGGTAGGGTAAGCTCTCGGGGCTTCGCTTGGGTATTTATTTATTCTGACTCCGTGGGCAATCCTTGCTGATCACTTGGCTGGCCAGTGTTTTAGTGTTTGCCATTCGGAAATATCCCGGTCTGTGCTCTGTTGATCAATCGTCAAGCTGACCAGCCGGAGCCTGTAGCACTAGTCCTGCTCGCAACAGCAGTGTACGGAGTAGTAGGCTAGTAGCACTGCCGCTGCCCTGGAACAGGATCAGAGAGTCCCAAGCATATTGATCACTTGGTTAACCAGCTCTGTGTGCGTGTTTTTTGAACTTTTTTGTGTGTGTGTGTGTGTGTGTGTGTGTGTGTGTGTGTGTGCGTGAACTGACATTGATAAAATTATACTCCGCTGAAATCATCCAACTTTAAACTCATGACAGGCGGTTTCACATCCTTAGAGTTAGAGCAGTGAGCTCGGAACTTTATGGAATATTACCTATCTGCCTGTCTGGCAGCTGGCTGGCTGGACTCGCTGGAGTCACTGGACTCGCTGCACGTGCCTGTCAGACGAACCGTGGCATCTGACATATGACACGTCTGAGATCGACGACTCAGAATTGACATTTACGGAGTATATACGGAGTATCAGCACAGTACTCTTGTAGTATATTATTCTATTTATTCTATTCATTGAAGCTGTGAAGCGAAACAAAACAAACCAAACCTTCCAGCTTGGACAGCCCTTTGTGCAGCAATACGGAGTACATGCTTACTCCGTAAGCTAGTGCTCAACCCAACCCCACTGCCGGCATGGCAATAGCATGACATGGGTATGGGTATGGGCTGGCTGTCATGAGCCATGGTATGGCATGACCCATGGCAGTACTTGCGGGGCGTCTGTGCAGTGCAATATGCGCACGGAGGAAAAATTCTATTTAGGAATTAGGTCTGAAGTCAACAAGTAAGGTTGAGAGTATGGAGTTTATTTTTGATCGAGAACGTTGAAAAAAAGCGCAATAAAAAAAAGTTTACACAAAAAAAAGGCGCTTAAGTTGAGATTGTTCTGTTAATTAACATTTGTTTATTATTATTATTATTATTTTTCTCAGACATAATTAATAATCGTATCATCAGCAATTAATTATCTACCTATGCAGACAGTAGCACTATAGAAGGAATATCTACGCACCCGTCCAAGTTCCAACCAACCTGGAATTTCTTCTTCACTGAGTACTCCGTACGGAAGACTCGTAAAGCCCGTATCGTATGCAGAGCGCGGACCAGTACGGAGTAAGTACTACTAAGTACCTACCTGTCAGACTCACCACCAGGGAGGATTTTACTACGAATCGCATCGAACAACCAATCAACAGCCAACCCAACCAAGTGGAATATACTCCGTAATAAATAGTTTAAAAAGAGAGAGAGAGAAGAAGATCTCAAGTTCCCAACAAAACCAAGCCAAAAAGCCAAGATAATAATTAGATAGAATAGAATTAGAATAGACTGTACGGAATAGACTAAACCGCCGACGGAGTTCCGAACTGAACTGGTCAGTTAGTACCTACCTAGTACCTAATGTAGAAGAACTCCTGAACTAGATAGAGACCGGGTTCAGACCCGTAGACGTCGGTATACGGAGTACTGTTACTCCGTACGGGGGACTTTCTACCGTAGTAGAAGGATCATGATCACGGGACTATACTCTGTACGGAGTACTCTCTCTGTACATACCCAAGTTAGGTACCTAGGTACCAGGGACCTAAGTTATCGTCCATTCCGGAGTACTACGGAGTAACTACAGTAATACTGTCCACAGCTCAGCTGAAATGGAATGTTGTCAGTGGAATAATGTTGAACGTTGAATGTTGAATGTTGAGAGAGGCTGGACTGCGCTGGACTGGACTGGGCTGGGCTGAGACCGACCGACTGACCAGGGGCAGTGCAGGAAGGATTCAATCCGAATTCAAGTTGAAACCGTTGGAATTAATTTAGGATAGACATGACACGACACCGCCAGATCGGCTACATAAATCCCAAATCCCAAGATTCCCAACGACAGCGACAGCTAACTAACTAGCTAATAATTAACTAGGGGAAGGGGAAAGGAATCCGTCATCCGCAGAAGACTACGGAGTAGGAGTATTTACTCCGTTTACTCCGTCGGTAACTAACTAATAATAACTAATATTAAACTACCTTACTACGGAGTACTCCGTACTTAGGTATATTGCTTCTCCCCGGTGCTCACTTTAGGTAATAGCTCATCTACCTACTCGCTCGCACCGCTCTGCAGTCCATGCGTTTAGGTATCGTGGGTTACTAATTACTGCGTTTGGTATGTTCTAATACATAATTGCGAAGTGTAGGATTCGTAGCTGCAGACTGCAGTAGTTTAGTTAGTTCAGCAGGGAGAACGGAGAACGGAGGACTCTGTAGTCTGTGCTTTGTAGGTGCATACTGCATAGACGGTAAACCCAATCAGTGTTGAGATTGGTTGTATAGTTCTGTACGGAGTACTCTGTACGGTAACTCACGTCAGGAAGTTCTCCTTCTATGTCTTCTGCTAGTGTACACTGTACAGTGTCATATACTTCGTACAAGTACTTCGTACGACTACCTTTATCTATGCTGGTGACTCGTCTGTTGTGAACACCTCCTTAACGAGGGCCTTCTTGTTGACTAAACACACGTCAGCAACGCTCACCAGACATTACAAACCGACCTACCCTTGCCCATCGCATTTCTTGGAATCGAGTCTAATATCTTCAACTCCTGCGGAATCTTATACGCTGCCAGTCGGTCTTTCAGCGCCCGACGCATGTCCATGATCCCCCACGGCTTCTCGCCGCGTCCAGCACTCTGCGCTTTCTCGGGATCGAGGACAACGACTGCGGCGACCTTCTGACCCCATTGCTCAGATGGAAGGCCAACGACAGCCGCCTCGGTGATATACGGTCTGAAACAAGGTTAGCTCAGACTTGCAAGGACTGATGACACGGAGCGACGAACAGTGACAGCAACTCCCTCTCCACCTCCAGCGCGCTAACTTTCTCTCCTCCCGTCTTGATGATATCGACGCTCAGGCGACCCTGGATGAAATACATCGGTCCCTGCGCCCATTCGCCGCTGGTGCCCTTTCCACTGCCTGGAACCGTCCGCCGGACGGCAACATCCCCCGTTCGAAACCATTTCCCTTTCCCGTCGTCGCTCTCCATGAATGCCTCGCGCGTGGCTTGCTCATTCTTGAAGTATTCACGAAAGATTGTCGGACCCCGAAGCTGGATTTCACCAACCCGCTCTCGTCCAGTATCGTCCAGCTCCTCGCCAACCTTAATCACTTCATTCCGCTCCGCATCCCAAAGCCTGGCCTCAACAGAAGGCAGAGGCCACCCAACACTGCCGTCGACACGATCCGCCGGGTCAAGACCGCAGCTGATCGCCATGCCCACTTCGGTCATTCCGTAGCGTTCCAGCAATACATTCCCATTGCTAAGCTCTGTCCAGGCCTTCTTCGTTGGAGTGGGAAGAGCAGCAGACCCTGAGATGTTCAAGCGTAGATTCTCCGGTGAAATCGCTTTCTTAGCAGCATCCTGGGTAGCAGGATCCAAACCCCGGAAACTCGACATCAGTCGATTGTAGATCGTGGGGACGGCGGTCAAGAACGTAACCTTATCCTTCACAGTCGTCGCTGGGAGAAAGGGGGCCGCAAGTCTGTTCCACACTGCGTCGGCGTTAAAAGGGAACATGAACTCGATTGCGGCCCCGGCAAGAACTGGAGTCAAGATGGCATTGACTGTCCCATGGATGTGGTGGAGAGGAAGGAGATGCAGTAGCAGATCCTCCGGTGAGTACTTCCACGCTTGTATCAGCGATTGGGCTTGTGCTGTCAGCGCGGATTGCGGGATAAGAACCCCTTTCTGTAATGTAGACGTTAGACACAAAGAACATGCTGCGCAGGCGGTTTTCTTACCGGGCGATTCGTCGTGCCAGACGTATATAACATCATTCCTCCTCGTGCTCCCTCAACGGCTTCGAATCGCAGAGGCTCGTCATCTGCTGAACCCTTGATAATCTTCTTTCTAATATCAACAATCGGCTCTCTTTCGAGACCCGCATTCAGGATCTCTTGCGCCTTAGCTCCATACTTTTCCGTAGCCAGCAACACCTTGGCCTCGGAATTGTCCAAGATGTACTTGAGCTCACCAACTGGAAAAGCAGGAGAGAGCGGCAGCGCAATTGCATCACTGGCAAGGATGGACAGAAGCATCACTGGCGCACAACGTTAGCGCTATGTCCCAGACCAGATATCAGAGTCAGAAGACGGTGCAAGAGAAAACAGTACCCACGTAGTCGTAGCTATTCTCAGCTAGGAACGCAATCCGCTGGCCCGAAAGATCGCCAGCACCGTTGACTTTACTCGCGAGCTGCTCCTTGGCCTGAACGACATCTCCGACGAGATTGCCGTACGTGAAGGACCGCCTCGACTTGCTGTGCACTACGGCGGTGCTGGAGGGTTCATGACGGTAGAGAGCGCGAAACAAAGGTATATCCGGAAGGGTTGAAAGCGTCCGGAGACATTGAAAAGCTTTCCCCTGGTGAGAATATCTGAAGTTGCAGGCCAATGCAGCCCTCAATTGGTCTGACGTTGTGCTCCGCGTGAGGGACGAGAGCACGCCGCGACGCAGCATTTGTTACAGCCTGTAGCCAAAAGAAATAGGAATTTAAAAAAATAAATAAATAAATAAATAGAACAGTTAAAAAGTTTCAACCCTCATATACTGTATGCAAGACTATGTCGAATTCGTACTCGTTCATAGATGGTTTGCATCATGATGAAATTCAATGATTCAGTCTTTACTATTGGAGCTTCTCGGGCGGCAACTCCGCGGCCTAGGCTCGGAATGCCGATGCTCCGCATTTCGATCGACCGACGGGAAATCATGAGATAGCCAGAGCAAACAATAATTTCTCTCCATCAGTCAAAAAAAAAACCGGGAGTCTACGAACTGTTTTTGCCTGGGGAGCTCTGGCCTGTCTTTTCCAAGGTCCTCCTCCCGTGGATTACAGACCCCCCAATGCTCGCCCGCAACACCCGGATCTCAGGCTTATTATTACCTGCGCGACGTCTATTCTCGACCTCGACGTTCAGAATGGCGACTCAGACGAATACTTCCAGTAATACCCCGGTGGAAGATGCCATTCGGGAAAAGGTACCTTACCATCGTGCCGCAACTAAGAGTATTCCCTTTACTGTTTTGTTCTGTGTGGTCGCTAAATTGATGGTCTGCTTGCTTAGCTGACGGCCGCCTTCTCTCCTTCCACCCTGATTATCCGCAATGATTCCCATCTCCATGCGCACCACGCCGCGATGCAAGGGAACACATCCAAAGAGACGCATTTCCAGTCTGTGTTGCCTCGCTTCTTTTCGCTGAACTTTTAATGGGTTGTCTAACTCCGATGTGCTTACAATAGTGTCACGATTACTTCGGAGGCCTTCAAGTCGAAGCCACAGCCTGCGCGACACCGCATGGTCTACGCATTGCTGAAGGACGAGATGAGTCGCGAAGGCGGAATCCATGCCTTGCAGCTCCAGACAAGGACACCGGAGGAGGAACAGAGGCAATTACAAAGAGAACAGCAACCGCAGTAGCGAATAAAGTCTGCGCTGAAAGGCTTCATATCCACTACGCTCTCATGCCTCGGGATCACCCGGACGGCTATAACTACCGACTTTCCAGTTGCAATGGCTGTATTCCGGCACAAGAACCAACTGTCTAGTAGAAAGGGCCGTAGGAAAAATCACTTGATTATTATAATACTAGCCTCAAAGAAACAGCGACGAGCACACCGGAAGAAGCGAAAAAGTCTAATATGTACAACAGCAACAGGCATCTCGGTGCTATTGAACAGACACGATCATCAGGTCGCATAAAGCCCGTGGGAAAATCGTCCCGGCATGCGACCATTCAAACAATCACAAGAAATAGAGAAAAGGAGACCAAAAAAAAAACAGCAAGGAAAGGGAGTAGGAGGCGGACGAAATCAGCGAGGATACAGGTATAAATTCGGCAACACACAAGTTGGGGTCCTTTTTTGTGACTCTGGAGACAAAGGAAAACAAAAACGACGAGACGCCATTGGGGAATAAATAGACGTAAAGAGCGTTCAGGACAATGGAAACCGCCAACGGAAGCAGAAGATATTCAGAACAGAGTGTGAAACTGTACAGCCGTGGAGCAGGCGCCGTTCCATCTTGGGATCTGCCACTCGCATAGAGAGGCAGGTCTTACAACGAAATTCAGACCCAAGAACGGACCGGCCCGAACCCCGCTTGACTTTCGGTTGGCATCGACACATCGGCTGAAAGAGCGATGTGTCCCAATTAGTGGGTGCTGCGGTTGGCTTCGGTAACGCCCACGGCAACACCGACAACAATGGCAACGATGAGGACTGGGGATTCTGTTCAGCTCCTGACTGCCTGGGACGGGAGAGATTCGAGGATACTTACTGATGACAAGCAGAACATACCACTTCCACCTCCTAGCCCTTCTAGCGCTCTCGATGGCGGTGTCGATTTGCTTGTTGGCATTGGTTACATTGTCCACCACCTCCTCTGCACCTTGATTAATCTGCTCTATGGCGGGCTCCTGCTGCTGAACGAGTTCTGCCACCTCCTGGTACAACCGAGCCAATTCGATCATATCCTGCTCGATCTTTCGAATGGCTGCCGATCTCTCCAAGGCGGCCTGTCTAGCATCATTTGCCTGTCGCGTTCTAGAGCCAGTAACCTTCAGAACCGATGTCAGCATCGACACTCAAAAAGACTATCACAAAGTCGGTTGGCGTACCTGGAAGCTCTGCTCCTGACCCATGAGGACGTTCTGCACACCCTGTTCGATCTGCTCGGGCGTCGCATTCGGGTTGGCGATTTCATAGCGTCGCCGCACCTGCTCCTGGAGTCGTTTCTGGAAATCGGACTGCGCCTTCTGGTACTGTTGGATCTCCTTCTGCAGATTGCGGCTTGTCACATCGATCTGGGTCTGGACGCGCGGGTCTCCCGAGCCGGGGGTCTGCTTGACCTTCTTCATCAGATCCCGCAGATAACGGAAAGTGTTGTTGATCTCGTCCTCGATGTAGTCCAGGTTCTGGCGGGCCACCTGGTCCTCCTTGCCGGTGCTAGAGTCCAGCAGAGCATTCTGCGCCAAGGCGAGCTGTCCCTCTCTCTTGGCCCGGAGTTCCTGAATGCCATCGTTGATCTCTTTGCACTTGTTGAGAATGGACGTCGGCCCTTCCGCTGCAGGGGGGTTGTTCACGGCACCCATCTCTGCGGAGAAGACGATACATTAGATCAGAGACCGTGACACTGCATCTCGCGAGGATTATCTCACCATAGCCGCCATTGCCCCGTTCCAAGTCCCGATTATTCTGGGCGTAGGGGTTGTACTGGCCGTAGCCACCCTGGTTTCCATAGCCGCCCTGGTTGCCGTAGCCACCTTGGTTTCCGTAGCCTTGATACTGTACAAATGGTCGTGATCACCATCGTCGTCAGTGAACGCTTTCTTCTAGCGAAATGAATAGGAGCGCCGGAAAGCGGCGAGGACAAAACGGCCCCCGACGACCGGGCGGGATCAGGGTCAGACGCGATGTCCAACACTCACACTCATCTTGGTGTCCTCGTCCTGAATTCAGCTCAGCGATCAATTAACGACCCTCGCGCGGAAGACGTCCACCGTGGGAGAATCAATGCGGATGGCGAAATGTCGCTGACGGCGGAGGCGAATCGCGAGGGATCCGGTTTTACAAGGTCGTAATTAATTAAGGTAACAGAAGCAAGACAACAACAAAAGAAAAGGAGAAGCGGAAGGAATGAAAGAAGAAGGGCAACAGCGGGGCCCAGAAGAACGGTTCTGGCTGAAAAGGGAAGAAATAGAAAAGATGAAATAGATAATTAAACGAGGGAGCGAGACGGCGAGGGAAATGAGAGCAGCCCTTGGGTCTGGGCGGTTGAGTGGCGCGTCGACGGTGCAGACTCAGCCCGCAGCTAGCTTAGCGTTGCTGGGCCCCGGCAGCTGAAGCCGCAGCAACGCCCTGCTCCGACACTGGCAGTCGGAGCGCAGTCTGGATGGATGGACGCTGCGGAATGTGATTTGCGTTCTTATTTTAGGCGTGCTGTCAGTGTCGAGCAGCAAATGCAGGCAATCTGTGCTGCTGCAGCCTGCACCAGTGCTCCAGCTTTTTTTTTCTGGTGTGCTCGACGGCCCGCTGGGCGATCGTCCAACCCCCTATTTATTTCGTTTGGCCTCAGCCTCAGGCAGTGGAGAGCGCACGCAGCCAATGGCAGCCGGGAAAGAAAAACAATTATAGAACTATACTCCGTAGCAATCGACTGCTCGAGACAGGCGTGATAAGACGATGAACATACAGAGTACAGAGCAGCGTACTATGAATTATTTGACAAGCAGTAAAGTACGGAGGACTGTGTCTTCCGCTGTCAGCTCTGGATTCCAGCCGTCTCCCAGCAGCCATCCGGAGCGCGGCGGCAGCGACCATCCTCGCCTCGTGCAATCAGCGCTTCGACTGCCCGCCAGATCTATGGAACCGTGGCATCTGTATGCCTCTGTTCCCCGCTGGTTTATCCTGCTGCCTTGCTGTGTACATCCCACGACAGCCGGCCATGAACTAGTTCCATATCCGTCCGACAGCCATGCTCGTCTTGCTGCCTTATCGCAGACACATTCGCATTACATTATTCAGCGATCCAATTCTCGAGTGAAGTCATCAGACTGCGAATTCATGGTTGAAAATTTCACTCGAGGGGACCAACAGGATTGCCGGATCAGTCGTGGAACAGTCTGAGTAAGCACAATCCACAAGTCAATTATTAAGCGATTTCTGCCTGCACGTTCTTATTTTTATCCACAGACCTTGGCGAGTGCAATACACTGCCTCTTCTCTGCACAATGCACGTGGCTAGGCAGTACTATTCATCTTCAATTGACAGGGTTCTGCAATGACTTCTATTCTTGTTTTAGCTCCATGGCTAGCTACTTCCCTATGCTGTCATCGCGAGCTTCTGGAACCATTTTTAGAAAATCCAAACGATCGGAGTGACCCCACATACGCGACTGGCGAAGAACTTGGCTAAATCCTCTTATTACATCAGTGTCTGCTGCGAACATTTCATTATGCTTTTCTCCTGCTGCCTGCAGGTCCTTTGCTGCTTGTATAGTGTACAGTACAGTACAAGAGAGTGTAGGGAGAGTGGATAGAACCAAGCGTAGGCTGTCCATGCAAATGCGACATGGCCTATCTTAACCCATACAGCAAATTACTTTCATACAGCAATCTATCCTCTTGCAAGTGGAACCTGAAGATCGATATCAGACCTGCTCAAACTGCTAGTCCAACAAGAACTTGTCCTGGAAAGTTCGGTCTTGGCAGTGCAGTTTCGATCTGTGGATCAAGAATAACCCAGACATCAGACACCATGAGAGGACGAAAAAAAGATGAAGAAAAGGAGCTTTTCCCTCTCATGATGAAATTTTCACCGCACAATCTGCTGGAGTTTCAAGTAGATGAAATTAAAAAAAAAGACTGTGTGAAAGACACCGGGAAATTCGGAAACCCCGCAAAGTCGGTTAACCCCACAGCGGAAGTGGCTGGCCCGGCTGGATTAGTCCGCATTTACCCCAAATAAATAATCTCCGTCATCAACACTAGAACGAGACCGTGTTTATTGTCACTGTATTTTCATACGCCCAATGGAAATGCAACAGAGGCCATGAGTTGCTACGATGGCGCCAAGACGCAAGCTAGACGAGTTCAATGCCGCGGCCAGTCCGCAGACGGGGATGTTGAACGATTTTGATATGCTCTTCCACACGCCGGACGAGACGGATCCTTCTCCCGTGCGCAAATTCCCACGGCGAGATAGTGCTCGAAAGGACTCGATTGGAGGTTACCGTCCCTGGAGGACGCTGGGCACAAGAGCAGTACCCTCATCATTACCACTGGCAAATATGGTCACAGCCGTCCAGGAGCTTATAGATCCCGACTTCGACCCGGTGATAGAAGCATTGGATGATTCGCCACGCTTCCTGAAGCCGCTACCATCCTGGATCCCGGCAGAGGACATAGAATACCTGAGCTCGAAAGGCGCTCTCACGATTCCGGAACCTCCATTGCGGAATGAGCTCTTGCGGGCCTACGTGCAATGGGTATACAACTTCATGCCTCTGTTGGATCTGCACGAATTTCTGCGAAGCATCGCTGAGAATGATCCGGACGCAAACATCAGCCTTCTCTTGTTCCAAGCGGTCATGTTTGCAGGAACGGCATTTGTCGATCTCGAGCATCTGCAGGCGGCTGGCTTTGCTACGAGGAGGGAAGCTCGCAAAGCTTTCTTTATGCGTGCGAGAGTGAGAGACTCCATGCCAAAATTTCCCCTTTTCAGTCTAACTGGTGTTAGCTTCTCTATTCATTCGATTACGAGGATGATCGAATCGCGATTCTGCAGGCGATTCTGCTGATGACGTATTGGCACGAGGTCGACGGCAGTCCGCAGAAGGATATATGGCATTGGGTGGGAGTGTGCAACACTCAGGCTCAGTCGATCGGCTTACATCGAGATCCTACAGGATCGGACATGAGTCCTGCTACCAAACGGTTAAGAATCCGCCTCTGGTGGTCTCTGTACTCCCGTGATCGGCTCATTGCCCTGGCTCTGAGACGTCCCACACAGATCAACGAAGGAGCCTGCGATGTACCCCTTCCACGCCTCAGCGATTTCGATATCAGACCGTTTCATCCTGCTGTTTTCCAGATGCTCCGATATCAACAGTTAGACGATGTCTCATATCAACGACGCCTCGCAACCATGTTTATCGAGAAGGTTAAACTGTGTCAGTACCTGGGACGGGTGCTCTTTGCGCAGTACTCCCCGTCGAACCATAATTTCGGAGCTACCAACAAGACTACCATTACGCTTGTTCCCAGGGAGGCGTCGGAGGCAGAGCTTGATCGCTGCAGTCAGAAGCTCGACGCCTGGGTCAGCGGTCTACCAAAGGACGCTCAGTTTATCCCACCCAAGAGCCAACATCTCAGCGAAGGCGAAAAGGTTCTGCTTCTTCATTCTGCCATGCTCCGGATGATATATCACGCAACCTGTAGCGCCCTCCATCGACCACAGGCTTTAATATTCGGCAGAAAGGCACACTCGACATCCAAAAAGGCAAAGTGGTCGATAACTGCCCGTCAGAAGATGCAGGATGCGGCCGCGGGGACGACGGAGATCGCCCATGGCCTGAATCGCCTGGGCTTGACCAAATTCCTTCCCGCTTCCGGGCTGACGGTTGTGTTGCCAGCAGCCGTCGTTCATCTAACCAACCTGACATCTTCCAACCCTGTCGTGCGGGACGAGAGCACCTGGAATTTCCACCGGTGTGTCGAGGTGCTGAACAAGCTGAAAGATATCTACCCGGCTGCGGACCACGAAACTGCCTACCTGGAGGAAGCGGTCAGGTGGCAATTGAAGCGTTCGCCGAATTCCGTCCTGATCATGCAGAATGCCACGTTCAGCGTTGTTGGCGGGGATCGGACGCAGCCTGATAACGGTGCACGATCATTGACAGATCGTGCAGTCAACGACTGGACAACTTCCGCGCAAACCAAAGAATCAACACCAGCCAGAACTAACATGAGAAATAATAACCAATTCCAAGGAAGCATTATCGAGCTTGACGAAGAAGATCGTGACAGGAATACTACTCTCCACTCCACGGATTTTCGAGATCAAAATGCAGGTAGATTCAACAACACCACCATGATGACCTTCACCAACAACAATACATGTAGTATCAGCGACCACTCCTCCTCCTCATATCAGCTCCACAACATACAAATTCAATCAAACAACGACAGCACTCCAACAAATACCTTCCCCGACAGGAATAGTCCCAAGGAACAACCAGAAGAATGGGACTGGAATGTCGACGTCTTGAATGACTGGTTAGTATCCTCCGATGAAGATGGAGATGGAGATGGAGATGGAGAAGGGGAGAACGAAAACGAAGGTCAAAGCCAAAGCAAGCACGAACGACAGACGCAGATAGAGAACAAGGATGCCGACCACACTACAAAGAACATGCGACATGATGCAGAGAACCTGTCGAAAGAAAAAGCAGAAGCAGAAGCAGATATTGTATCTTCTTCTTCTTCTTCTTCTCCGCCGCTGCTGCTTCACACGGAGCAGGAGGACCAGCACCAGCACCAGGACCAGCAACAACAGCTCTTAGTATCGCCATCCTTATTATTTCCCCCTTCTGTTATCAGCAGCGATAACAGCAGCAGCAGCAGCAGAGACTCGATGATGATTACTGGCGACTTGGAACGCGATCTAGGGTTTGCTTGATAAGTACATACATACATACACACATACGTATGTACAGTACATACGTATATTGTACTTGCTATCTAGTACATATACAGTACATACTAATACTATGCTTTCCTCATCCTGTCCTATCCTATCCTATCCTATACTATACTATCGCCTGCTGGGTTTGCAGGTGAGAAGAGGAATTTTCCTCAGCGTTGGCGCTGCAACCTTCATTTTCATTCTGGATGGCTGCTCTAGAAACAGGGAGTGTACAAAAACAAATATAATCACTTGGACATTACAATAAGACAATGAATATATCTAGGAGTCTTGTCTGTCTGTCTGTTTATTTGTCTAGCTAGCGATTCTATAGTAGTGAGATTTACTTTTCTTATCTGACTGAGCCACCTACATACTACTACAATACTGCTCTGCCCTTTACTCGCCCTTCTTCCCCCATCGCGCTGCCTCGTCACCCTTCTCCCAGGTGTGTTCGATATAGCCCAGTCGCTTCTTCACATCCTGGACTGTGGTCTTGTCGCCTGTGTTCTTGCCCAGGTTGTCGCTGAGCTTGACGGCAGGACGACCCCCTGCAGTGGCGATCTTGATGACAATGTTCAGGGGCACCGATTTTTGTCCGTCGGACTTTCTCCGGAAGTCATCTGGAAAAGGTTCCCTTTCAGCTACTATTCTACTTTCGGGGATGGATTTAAATAGGTAAAAGGTGAACTTACTGGTTAAGAATGTACCGACGCCAAAGACAGGCTGGAAGCCGGCCTCCTCGGCAATCACTTTATATTCCAGGCAAGAATCGACGTTCAAAGAATCTGAGAAGACAATGACCTTTTTGTCCTTAATGCCTTCCTTGTCGTAGAATTCCCGGACCATCTTGACGAAATACGCTGGATCGCCCGAGTCCTGTCGCACGCCCTGAAAGACCTGAGCGTACGTTTTCCTCGTAGATGGTCGACCATTAGGCTGGACGGGTGCTACCACGGGTGGTTTGGTGTCCGCGAGGCTTTCTGGCGTCGATCCTGTAGTGGTCGACTGATTTGACGGCTGCACGGTGTCTGCTCCAAACCCAGCTGTTGTGTAGTCTGGAATAGGCTTGCGGAACGCATCGAGGAACGCAGGCGTCCCGAAGGTGTCGGTCAACGCGATGCCCAGAACCTAAAATGCTACTTGTGAGTTTTGACACCGAGATTGACCAACTTCAATGTAATCGATAGACAAACGTACACCTTCCCCAAAGCATCCAAGCCAGTAGCGCAAAGCCAGCTCGTTGGCATGCTCGTAGTCATCTGTGAAGGCGGCAATGGCCATGTACCATTCGTGCGCAACAGTTCCCACTGGATTCACACCATACTTCATGGCGAAATGAACGTTGCTAGTGCCCGAGAATACTCCCTTCCATCCTTTTTGCTTCCCCTCTTCCGCAGCACGGCACAAGCCTTTCATGACCAGGTCGTGTGTGTGGTAATCCCGCCTCCGTCTTGAACCAAATTCGGAGAAGATGCAACCATTCTCCAAAAGAGTAACCCCCTTACGGTATGCCCGCTCCTCTTGGTGGCTGTAATCCCAGTCCGTGTCACAAAATTTGAAATATGCCTCGCTCGTGAGTGCCAGGAGGGGGATTTCATAGAGGATCGTCTCAACCCAGAGACCTTTGGTGAAGTATTCGAGATCGCCCAAGTCGTCATCGCTGCCGGTGTCTTGCACAGGAGTAAAGGTGATCTCAATCTGTTCAGACGGTTTGAGACGGAAATTGCGGAGGTATCGGAGGTAGGCTTCATTGAGGTAGGGACAGGCCTTTTTCAGGAACTCGATCTCTTCGTCTGTCACAGTGATGTTCCCAAGCTCTAGAATTGCAGGATATGAATATCATTCCAAAATAGACCGGAAACCTTTGCAATATAGGGATCGCCACTTACTATTTATTTGCTCTATCAACCACTTGTATGCTGCTCGCGATAGTTTCATGTGGGGAGTACGATTTGTAAAGCCATACGTAACCTCTGTCACATGAATCATTAGCTTTTCCCCCCTTGTTTGGTCAGGGCAACAGCGAAATCCACTCACGAACGTCAGGAAAATACTTCAGCACAGCAGATTGCATTGTCAATTTGTACAGGTCTGTATCGAGCAGGGAAAAGATCCCCTCCGGTGTCGGAGGAGGGGCATCTTGACCCATTTTGACTGCGCTGGTTTCCCTTTAGAAGACAGCGATTCGATATTGATAAGTGAAAATATTAAAAAAGGTTCTGGGATGACCTGGTTACTGAGAGCAGTCCCCATAAAGAATGAAATTGGCAGTGTGAAGAGATAAGGAATAATTTCTAATGCCCGTCTTTCCTGCGGGGGAACCATGACACCCCGCGGCCGCGTAGGCAGAACCATGTTTGTGCTGTTTGCATTGTTATGTCATCGATATTTACATTTACAGCGCGCATTGTCTGCCTTGCTCACATTGATCTTCTTCAACTGCAGTACAGTCTGGAGGCTATGATCTGCATAATTCTTGTTGTTCTGGACGCCCATAGATGGGGATGCACTGGTATGACGTGCAGACATGCGAAGGTGGAAGATTGCATGCCAAGACCAGGTGAAATAGGATTGGTCTCACGACAACCACTTAGAAAGACACAGGAAAAAGAATGCAGGGGCTGAGATGATATCGACAAATTGCATTCGAATACGGGCGTATTCTAATACAGAAGAACGTAGCTATCTCTACGTAACCTGCTAAATACGCCCATACTCTGATACTGAGAAGACGAGATCCAAACCATGATTTTCATCTGTACAGTACAATACATCTGAAGCGCAAAGCCTTGTAACTGTAGACGTAGTACTGACGTATGTGTGTGGCGTACGTGATTAGCTAATCCAGTCTTTGTCATCATATCACGTGACAACACTCAACCGCCACATTACATCAGATGACTGCCCAACTAAAGTTCATCTTCAAGTCTCAACCATTGAAGATCACTGTTTCCCCACTGCCGCAGTTGGATCTCATCCAACTACCCAGGAATATTATTTGGTACGGACTGTCAAGATTCAGAATTCCGTGGCCATGACGACGGAGGACTGTGCCACGGTCCTTGAACAGTTCGTTCACGATGGTAAGTGAATCCAAATGACTCGCAAATGGCCCTAGCTAACGCGACGCGCGCAGTTGCGAACTTGCCTGCTGAGATCACACATTTGATGGAAGAGATCCAAGCCAAGGACAAGATCATCCAGGAATGCCGCGCGATCATCAATTCCCGCGACAACAGTCTGCAGAAGTTCATCAAGCTTAACGGCAGTCTTGCGCCGAATCCAAAGGAGGAACAGTACAGCAAGCTCATCCTGCAGAATTTGGATCGATGTCAGGCACTGCAAGATGAGAAAATACAGCTTAGCGAGAAAGCATGTGTCCTATTAGACCGTCAAATCAAAAAGCTGGATATCAAGATCCGCGACCTAATAAACGAGGGTATCCTCTCTAATGACCCGCCCATTCCTTCGCTCTTCAACAACAAAGATCAATACCGGGATCCTCCAAAGACTTTGTTTCCTGACCAGACTCCAAACGATGTCTCATCGTATTCGCCTCTCAATCCCACGTCCGGAAATACCAACACTGCGTCGTCGACGGCCCAACGGCTCAATCAGACTAATCCTCGTCCTGCTAACACTTCAACATTGGCCACGCAGAATGCCTCTCGCAGCTCCGCTCCCTCGACTCCCACTGCAGCAGCCCTACATCTCCAGCAACGACAGCGTGAATCATCTGCGGGAGCCGTTGACAGCAAGCGCAGGCGCTTGAACGCATCTCTTGGCTCCCTTCCCGCAGCGCCGTCGAATCTGCGACAATCATCGCTTGGACCGGGAACCCCGAAGGCGGGAACGCCTGTATCAAATCGTGCCGGCAGCGCTGGTCCGCGTGCCGGTGGGGTGACCAAGAAAGCGGTGACGAAGAAAGTCGCTCCTCACCAGCAAGTAAAGAAGATCAAAGCAGTCACCTCCGGGAAGCCTGTTAAACGCTCCTCGAGCGCCAGTGGCCGCCTCAAGCTCACCACAGGTGGCGGGGCACTGAAGAAGTCACCCTCAGCCGCTGGTGGGGATGAGGACGACGAAGACTCTGTCCTCAGCAGCGCCGACGTGTCTGAATCGGAGAACGCGGGCGTTTCTCGACGTGCCGGCCAGGGCGCAGCAAATGATTCGGACGAGGAGATGGAGGACGAGGAAGACGAGGGCGGTGAGGACACCAAGGTATACTGCACCTGCCGCAGTGTCAGCCATGGTGATATGGTTGCTTGCGATAACGACAACTGCCCTTACGAATGGTTCCATTGGAAATGTGTAGGACTCACCAGGGAGCCGATAGGCACCTGGTACTGTGATGAGTGTAGACAAAACCTGGGGAAATGATGGGGTATGCTTCTTTTTCTTTTTTATTTTATTTTAATGGCGTTACGAGTCTAGGTCCTGTACAGTATACCCAGAATTTTTTCTATCTTGTTTTATAGAGTACTTTTTAGCCATGGTAGCATTCCTAAATACAACCAGACCGCCCGTCCTCGTTGGACACTAAAGCATACATTTATGCCAGAAGAAATCCCAACAACCCATTTTTTTAAGCCCCTGTTAAATCACAGATGCATGCGAAAACCAAGGGGACCCGACCATCAAAACTCCGTCGCTATGCATAATAGGAAAATCTTTTTTCATACAGTAGTACATCAGATGTGGTGGCCATGAATGGGACCGACGCTTCCTGCCCATTGCTTAGCAGAGCAGAATCAAAAACCAAGCGCTTTTTCTAGCCAGGAATCAAAGTATTCGCAATTCTCTGGACTGACGGCTCCGCCGGGTTGACACAGTTTGAACACGGGACACTGTCCACACGGCGCCTCAACCATGCCATTCCTGCCGAGCCAAGCTTCAAATTGTTCGTTCGCCACGGCGGTATCCCCTTCCCCACGCGTCTTTGAAGCCAGTCTGACATTGTTTGGTTTTTTGACAGCCTTATAATTTAGGCCATTATTCAACGCGACCAGTTTGTTATCGTAGCAGAGCATGTCGAGCAGCTGCGCAACGCTCTCATCGTTTAGGGTCACAGGCGTAATACCGACCTTGTTCACTTCGGCCGTGATGTCTTTGACTGTTGGGTAGTGCTGGTATCCGGCCGGGAAGGGAAGATACTGTTTCTCCGAGTCGGACTTAACGTCACCGCCGCTGACTTTCTGACGTTTGGCGTGATGTTTGTCTGTGCGGGAGGTGGGAACCTCATACCAGCTCCTTTTGCTGACATAGTGCTCGATAAAATCCGACAAAACATTGATGAATTCGGCGTCCAATACGCCATCGGTGAACCATGCGCCTCCCGTCACATCTTCACTCGGTGTAAGTTCAGCCAACATGTAAACCTTCCTGCCTGGGAACCTGACATTTTGAACGGACTTGATATAGTTCTTGCTTTCCAGTGACTTGAGACAGCGGTCTATAATTGATTTGTGGAGATTTGTGCGAGCCTTGAGAGGACGGATCCAAATGCCCGCACGACCGGTGGAGTGGATAACATCGTAGATCAGACTCTCGTTGGGACTGAGGTTTTGAAGTCTGTGCCATTCACTGTTAGAAAGATGTCTCCAAATTGAAAAGGTGCTCGCTTTTACCTTTCAGCATCCTTCTGGGAGATGAGTTTCCATGCCAAACGATCATCCTTGTCCTGGTGTGTACGGAACAGTTTCTGGTCGACCAGCGACTGGGTGCATTCCAACAAGAGGTTCAAGTCATTATTCGGGATCACCCCCAAACTCAGAAGATCCTGCTGATAGATGAGATGGTCTTCCGAGTATTTGCTGCGACATTTCTCATAGAGCTCCGAGGCAAGAGCCGCGGCGCCTCGCGAGGAACCCCCCGCGGCGGCCATTGCGAATCACCAGCAGCTTCGACGTGGTTGAAAAGAGAAGTCGATCACCGGATGACTGTCCAATATATCATATTCGCTTGGGACCCAGCACTCCTAGTCCACCATTGGATCCAGTGGGAAGAGTGAGAGACGAAGGTAAACAAGCAAAATGCAGAAAACTCCCACCGAGCGCAATCTTCACCATAGTGGCGGGACCATTTTCTGCCGTCAATTAAAGTTAAAACGCGGGCTTGGCGGGCGCCTAGGTCACGTGGCTGGGTGACACCTACGCCACTGATGCCTCAGGCGCCAATGGCTTTGCCCACCTTCTGCCTCAGGCTCCCATTCTGCTCCCCGCGGAAGCTACATGAATGAAGCTCGAAATTTCCAGAAGCTCCAGCCCAGCAGCGGTCATAATAACTGCAACAGCTCTCCCCGATCTGCAAGATTTCTTGCTTGAAGACAATTTGAGATTCACCACCTTGAACTTCTGAACAGTGCTATATTTTTGCGGGTATGGCGGACGCATTGAAGGCGGAGGGCAACAAGGCCTTCTCTGCAAAGGACTATCCCACGGCCATGTACGTCGCTTAGACATCCCCGCTTGACATGTTGAGCAACAGCATCAGAGCTTCGACTGACGACCGTTTCCCAGTGACAAATTTACACAAGCCATTGCTCTTGAGCCGGACAACCATGTCCTCTATTCTAACCGATCCGCGGTCTATGCGGCCCAGTCGGAGTACCAGAAGGCGCTCGACGATGCCAACAAGGCTACAGAGCTGAAGCCTGACTGGGCCAAGGGGTGGAGCAGGAAGGGAGCTGCCCTGCGTGGACAGGGAGATCTTCGTAAGCTGCCCCGTCTATTTTCCACATATATCGGAGTTCCTGTTGTACTGACTATGAGTTGCAGTCGGAGCTCTCGATGCATATGAGCAGGCCTTGAAGCTCGAACCCAACAATGACCAATTCAAATCTAGCGTGGAGTCTGTCAAGAGGGCAATCAATGGGGAGGCCAAAGCGGACGGCTTTCCTGGAAATCTCTTCAATGATCCGCAGCTCTTCCAGAAACTGGCCAACAACCCCAAGACATCTCACTTGTTGGCGGACCATGAATTCATGTCAAAGCTGCAGCGGTTGAGGCAGAACCCAAGCAGCATGGGAGACGAGTTGCGGGATCCCAGATTCCTCCAGGTCATGAGCGTCCTTTTGGGCATCGACATGCAGTTCGGTGGCGCTCCGGGCGCAGGGGGTCCATCAGGTGCCGCTGCTGAAGCAGAGGAGGATGTGCCTATGCCGGATGCCTCTCGTCCCAAGCCTGAGGAGCCCAAGAAGGAGCCCGAGCCCGAGCCTGAGCCCGAAGATGAAGAGACCATCGCCAAGAAGAAGGCGCAGGAGGCTGGTGACGCTGAGAAGAAAATAGGCAACGACTTCTACAAGAAGAGGCAATTCGATGAGGCCATTGAACACTACAACAAGGCCTGGGAACTCAACAAGGATGTCACCTATCTGAACAACATCGGGGCTGCCAAGTTCGAGAAGGGTGACTACAAGGGGGCCATCGAGGTCTGTGAACAGGCCGTCAGCGAAGGTCGGGAGCTGAAGGCTGATTTCAAGACCATTGCCAAGTAAGTACAATGACTGGCAGGATAACTACATGATCGGGGTACTGACTGGTTGCGCAATAGATCCTTTGCACGAATTGGAACGGCATACGAGAGACTGGGCGACCTTACTAAGGCTATCGAATACTACAACCGATCACTCACTGAGCACCGTACCGGGGATGTCCTGACCAAGCTGCGCGCTGCAGAAAAGGCCAAGATCAAGGCGGAGAGAGATGCCTATATCAACCCGGAGGAAGCGGAGAAGGCCCGTGAGCTTGGCCAGAAGAAGTTCCAGGATGCCGATTACCCTGGTGCCGTCGACGCCTTCACTGAGATGACCAAACGGGCTCCTGACGACCCGCGTGGATACTCCAACCGTGCGGCAGCCCTCATCAAGCTGATGGCGTTCCCTCAGGCGGTGCAGGACTGCGATGAAGCCATCAAGCGGGACCCCAAGTTTATCCGTGCATACATCCGCAAGGGCCAGGCACTCTTGGCCATGAAGGAGTACAGCAAGGCTCTCGATGCCCTCACGGAAGCGCAAGAGCAGGATGAAAAGGGCCAGCACACGCGGGAGATTGAACAACAGCAGCAGAAGATTATGGAGGCGCAAATAGCCGCCCGCGCTGGCGAGACGGAGCAGGAAACAGCCGAGAGAATTCAGAAGGACCCGGAGGTGAGTATCTCACCACGTCATTGCTTCTGTCGGATCAAAACTAACCACCATCAACTCTACGCAGATCATGTCTATCCTCCAGGACCCTGTCATGCAGAGTATCCTGCAGCAGGCCCGGAGCGACCCTGCTGCCCTTCAGGAGCACATGAAGAACGCGCACGTGCGGAGCAAGATTCAGAAGCTCATCGCGGCTGGTGTCATCCGGTTGGGACGGTGAAGGCCGGATAATTTTAAGCTGACATGGAATTGCCGACCTTGTCATTGAGCTGTGTGTCCTTCCAACAGGTGAGGGTAGAATGTAGGGGGGCCATGTTGCGTGATGCATAAAGGGTGTATGCATTTAAGTCTTAGCGTTTAATGAGTCTCTATAATGTGATGACTGTACGATCAGCAATGCCAGTAATCGTTTTTCCATAGCAAAATCCGAAACTAAAAACTGATACACTACTTGAATGTATTATTCTAAGATTATGTTGTGCTTCCAATTAATTTTTTTTCGTTTTGAAGACGTCACTTGAAACTGAAAACCTGGAAACCTGAGGTTTTTTTTGTTATATATGGATGGGAGGGGACGATCCAGGAGATATGAAACGCGTGAGGGGCCAGTATTATGTCATAAAAATGCCCGAAGGATTTAAAGATGATATCGAAATCGATCAAAGCATCTCAAATCTACATGTAACCTGCCGGGTCCGATCGCCGCTAGTTCTTGGGCGTCAATCACGTCAAGGCTCAAGCACGGATCCAGTTGGCCTTCAGGACTGGGGCTGACCGCCGCAGCCGAAGCAAATACTGCAGACTCGTACATATAATTATCCCTTGAGATCACTGATCATCAGCCAGCAAGTGGGCACTGATGCAAGGCTGGCTGACTTGCCTGAGAGGGAAGGACCACCCCGCGCGTGTTTCTGGCCATTGCAGAAGACGATGCGGGGGCAGTAATTCTCCTACTCTCATCGGAAATATTCTCTGGAGGACGTTGGCCAACGAGTTGCTCTCAATGCCATCTGGCAGGTTTCTCAACGGTGAATAATTGTCTCCAGAGCCCCGAGCTAAAAGCGGGCCGTCAAACGTGACTGATGTGATGACCCATGCGTCCCTTGCGTCGTGCTGAAACCACTTTTCCTCCCGCTCCAGAGCAGATCGGAGTGCCGCAAGCTTGAGGTTTCTAAATTCATCGGACAGCTGGGATCGGTTGGTCGCAGACATACGGATGCTGCAGCCTGCATGCTTGGAGAGGTGACAGTTCTCCCTGTGACCAATCACATGGGCCAGAAACAGTTTGTATCGAAATTCTGCTTCCAATCATCCTCAATGGGCGAGACCTCTCCTCCTGTGCAACCCTGCGCCATCGCGCTGCTATCTGTGCGCAGTGAAACAGTGAAAATCTATGATACATGAGACGGAGAACCAGGACCTGTCTTCTGCAAGTGTCCATCATCCAGTTATTATTATCATCATATAAGGCTACTGCATGCACGGGTGGTCATCTCTGCAGGCTGCAGGCAGATCTCCCAAGCTACCACTGACGCATCTAGATGATCGTGACTGATGCCGATGCACGGACGCGTTTAGCGCCCCTGAGATGTCCAAGCTTCCTGGCCCAGCAGAAAGATTATCGTTACTCTCGTACAACGACGAGGTTGCCTCCAATGGTCTGGACCTTGTGGCCTACGACCCGAATGGATGCTCGGCTCCGCTCCCGGACAGGCATCCGAATATACTACTTCTTGTTTCTGATTCCAAAGCTATGGTCTCTTCCCGGTTCTTGTGGCTGTCGCCTCCTCGTCCAGTTTATTTGAATTAATAAATGTTAGAGAATTTATCGGACGAGTCGACGGGCTTTATCGACATTACGCAGGAACAAATTGAGGCAGCATGCCCGCGCAGCTTTTCCGCTTACTCGTCATCTTTGTGAAGAGGACGGCAAAGACCAGCTGACTAGAACCCGTTGATGCCAAGTTGATGCCTGTCTGCTGGGTCGCCTGCGGCCTACCCCTGACTCGGGCCGGTCAGGCCGGGTCTGGTGGATCGAAAACTCCTGGAGTCTGGAGTTAGAACGCTCGAGCTACTGCACGCGTCGACAGGAGAGCACGCGCGAGACCTTCACATCACCGTGACAAAGCGGCATCCATGTCCATGCCCTTATCAATACATCTTCACAATTAACCAGAGAGTGATCGATTATCGCAATGCCCAAGCGACAGTGTGTCTTGACAGAATTCAGGGGCAGGTTCAAGACAGCATCACTCATCGAGGGAAGCCAGGCTAGCCAGTTAGGGGTAGGCTCCGTACCACCGTATCGTCCAGAAGAGAAACCAGGCAGAAAGCGGCATGAGCTCCGAGTCCTGACGATCGATCTCGATCGGCTGCTCGTGCAACTCCAGGCCCCAGCTCCGTGCGCCCACCTATTGCGTCCGCCCAATTGGAGTCTGTCTCTTATGATTCCGTCCTCATCGAGTCATAATAATAAGACAACCACGCCCAGCTAGGAAAAGGGTGGGCGTTGCGACGAACAGGTGGACAACGGCCCGACCAGTGGGCTCCAGCCTGTCCCGTGCGCATGTTTACTCCGTACGCCTTGGTTTGTTTTCCCCCTGTTACCTGGTAGACAGCTCGTTGGTTCGGGACGAACGGTGGTCCGCCCCGGACGCGCCGCGGGTTGGCCGCCAGCGCTGCCAAGCCGTAAAATTAATTTGCAGACACAGACAGACTCCGCGCGGCCTGCGAAACCGCGCCAGACCGGTCACTACTGGCGTCGTCTAGCTGGGACGATCGCCTGTCCACCTCGCACAGCTTCGAAGTTTCTCGCCGCTCAGCAGTCGTTATCCTGAGAGTCTATCAGGGCAGCTTGTTCAGGGTCCCTGATCTGGCAGTTACGATTCGGACACACGCTGGATACTGGCCCAACAGCAAGGTGGTAGTCGGGCAGAGTCTCCGGATATATTCACAGGACAAGGCAAGCAAAAAAAAAGGAAGGAGGTCAAGGAGCACACGGGCCAATGAGCTAAGAAAGACAAATAAAACAGCTTTTCGCTCGATGCAGAGTCGTTGTCAGCCTCCCTACAGCGCCACACTGAGCAACTGGTTCTAGCCAAAACGCTCTCCTCATAAACGCTACTCCGGATGTGCACTTTCCAATCCGCGTCCGAGTGGCTGGGTCATGAAACTGACAGGCTGCAGGCGTCAGTATCGTTTTTCCTTGGGAGGTTCAAGTCCGGAGACCGACGGCGTATGCCATCAGTTCCACCAGGAAAAAGGAGAACCCTGTGGACCTGTGGGTATCTCCCTTCGTAGTAGCTATCGATTATGCACCATGCGCGCCCAGACTGCCCCCCTGGGCTCCTAGGCTAATCCTGGACCGGACAGTGAGAAACAGAGCGACCTTAGGTGCCAAGCCGTCTGCTTCATTGGCGTACGAGGCCTGCTTAACTCAACCCCACTGTGACGGATCCTACCTGTTGGGAGGCTCGAAGCTTATCCAGAATGGTGAAGCTACATTGGACGGACTCTCTATCGCGGAGTCCATTCCCAGTCTCTCGGGGCCGCAGGAGCCCCATTCGGGTGCATCGAGGTTTCTTGAACGAAAGCTCGCCTGCCCAGGCTGATCTTTTCTCTCGCATGCTTGACAGCTTCAAGTCCTTGACCGACCTGACTGACGGTTGACGACGTCAACTGCGACGTCGTGGTGCCTTTGACGACTGAACTATCATGTCCTGAAAGTTAACAAGCAGATATCGTGGATCTGCAATTTTTTTATTATTGCTGCTAGCTAGGTGAGATTAATTCGTGTTTTAATAACCCCGACTGTCATAAGAACAATCCTTGCACATTAATATCATGCAAGCGAAACACTGCTGCGCTCTGCGCACCTCATTCTCCACTCCGAAAGGCATATCAGTCTTACGGCTCGAGTCTTTGTCTCTTTGTATGGTCTAACTCGAATAACCGCCTCCAGGACCGGATTCCTCTCCTTTGACCTGCCGAGTCTACGGAGTATTCTGAAAGGGAAAAAAAAGGGTCGCATTGCAGAATTATATCCGTTCGCACGTGTCTCCGAGTCGTCGCTGAACCCACGGTGAGACTATTCCCAGTTTCCAAGCGCTTGTCCTGCCGCTTGTGCTCGTCGCATGTTTGGCTAGAGGTACCTGGAATACTGAGACTAATTAGATCGATGCGGAGGGCGCTGTTCGTTTTTGCAGAGCTCGGATTGACCGCTCGTTAAGAATATCCATCCTGTCATGTTTGGGTTTCTGGTTAATTACAATTATTGAGAATTGCGCGAATATCTGGCTCAAACAGCGGGAGGCTATTCGCTTCACTCCTGGCCGTATGTTTCAATGAGGGTCAGGCTGGTCCTGTGAACGACTACTTCTGGAACTAGCTGAGAGGCATACTGTTCACCGCAGCAGGTGCTGCCAGGTGCGCCCAAGCTCCTGACCGTTGATCAAGGATCGAGAGAACTATGGCTGCCAACACTGAAAATCACCGTCCTGCCGAGGCGGACGCATTTCCCACACCATCACCTGCACCATTTCGGACGCCTTCGAGAGCCATGTCTCGACATTCGCACCGGAGAGACTCATCTCCCGGTCCATCGTCATCCCCACCATCTCTTCCGCTGCAGCATTTCTCCCCTGACGATCATGAACATGCCATTGACGACGTCGTGAATGATGACACGATATCACCGCTTGATCCACGCCGGTTCACTCCCACACTACATGCGTCCCTTGTTTCCGAGATCCTTTCCTTACGGAGGGAACTGGAGAGCAAGAACAAAGCGATCGATGCTCTCGAAGCAAGTCTGGAGGACACCCGCGCTGAAAATGAGGCTCTCAATGAAAGTCTATCAAAGCATACGAAGGAGAACCGTTCGCTGAAGAGGCAGATGCAGCTTCTTGAAGGCGGTACCCTCTCAGCGCTCAGTGATTTGGCCAAGGAACGAGATGAGGCGGTGGAGAACATCACCGATGTTCGGAAGAGGCTGGAGCAGACACAGAAGAGAGCCCGGACTCAAGAGGAACAAGTAGAAAGAACCCAAATGCTATGGGATCGAGATAAGCAAGCTTGGGAGTCAGAGCGAAGAAATTGGGAAAGGAAGGTGCACGTTATGGAAAATAGGTTGAAAATGGTCCTGAATGAAGTTGCAGCTGCTCAGGCTGCTGGCGCGTTTCGCAAGCCCCAAGAGGGCGGCGACAATAATGACCCAGGGAGAGACACTATCACCACACGAGGAAGTGACACGACAAGCGTCCGATCGAGCAGGAGGCGAGCCAGCACGACCAGTGAGAGCACTCATGACGAAGAGCTTCCTTACAACAGCGGGAGATTCTCCTCCATGAGCTTTGTTAATGGGCATGGCGTCAAGCCCGATGGTCTCAATCTGGCTGAGGAATTGGCCTTCGATGAGGAAGATGAGGAAGAGGAAGAGTTCGCCGAACAGCACGAAGAACTTCCAGAGGAAAGGGAAAGGCCCACGTCTGTTCAGTCCCAGCTGTCTTATACCATGGCATTGAAAGCCCGAAAGATCCTTGGTCTGTCTCTTGATGGAAGCGTTGATCACCCTGCTGCCTCTGATGTTTTAGAGCAGACCCGCCCATCAGACCATATAGAGGAGTATGGCAATGGAAAGCTCACGGAGGAACGCCAGCTCAATTATCGAGATATTGGCGTTCAGTACTCACCTCCGCCGTCGCCTCAGCTGCCGCCACAATCAGAACCTTCGCAGGACCTTCCTGCAAGCGAAGAAAAGGTGGAAGAATCGGCTGCTGTTCCCGCAAGTCGTGGTTACCAGACGGTGGACAGTGGTACTCTGACCATGCCAGTCGCTATGGTGTCCAGTTCATGCCAGACTGTCGACCTTCCCAGCCCTCCTCGCACACCCGAACCTACTGAACCCGCTGAACCTACCCCGGTTATTAGCCAGGTCAACATGACGTCTAGCTCAACGCAGACCGACCCGGTGATTATCTCCACTGAAGAGGAACAAAAGGCTTCGGAAGCGCCGAAGGAACCACAATTCGCAGTCCCTATTCCGACGATTGCAATCCACCCGCCCGGTTCGGAACCCTCATCCCCCAGAAGCAGTGTCGTTTTACCCCCACATACGAAGAGCGTGTCATGCCAGACAGACTTGCCGTTATCCAAGAATGTGCGATCTGTCTCCATGCAGACAGAAGAGATCCGAATCGATAAGCGCCCCGTCAAGCTCCCGGCGAGCTTGCTTCCATCAGCGATCCTGGATCGGCCTACGGACAAGTCTGAAAGCCAGGAAATCACAATGCCCTTTGCGCCTCCTCCCCGGTCGCCTAAACGTGCACCCCCGAAACCACCGTCCGCTGGCGAAGGAGCGTCCAAGACCCTCAAAGGAAAGCAACCGGAACGCGTGCAGGCTTACCCAGGAAACAACGATAATGGCCCACTGGCGGATAATGACAGATCAGACATACGACGCCCGTTCCGGTCGAGTAGTCTGTTTGCTGGCTTTGACGACGAAGAGGAACAGGGATCCGGTTTCTTCAGCGATGATGAACTATACAACCGGCCGATGGCTTCATACTCGCTCAAATCCGGGAAAATGGTTCCCCGTTCTAGTCTCGACGAGAAACCCATCCGGGAAGTTGATGAGCCGGATGAAGCGCCCGTAAGTAATCAATCTAGGACAGGGTCCATACGAAGACCACCGCGTGGGTCGAAGATGGCCTCTACTTCGAAAGAACCAGATATCCGGCGAGCCGCATTGATATCTAACGGTGCTGCCGCGCATCAGAAGTCACGTCCGCGAAGCCCTAGCGAGCCTAGCATCGACAGCGCTGGTTCTACTGGCGCAGCCCGACCTCCCTTTCCGGTCCCTGTTAGACTCAGCTCGAGGAAGGTCCCCACGAGCGCCAGCGAGGGTGCACAAAGCCCGACCCCGTACAGCAATAGGAATGAGCGCCCCGGAAGACGTATCACGAGACAGCCTACCCTTCGCAAAGTTCGCTCTGCTGCCGCAATATCAAAAGCGAATCAATCGGAACGTCCTGGGAGCCGGTCACCGCCTGCAATGTCGACCTCGTCTTACGCCCCTGATAGCCCGAAACTTCCCCCGATGCCTCACGATGACGTTACCGCGCCTCGAGGCAAAAGATCGGTCAAGAAGCAACCGTCGACCCGCACCGGCTCTTCCGTCTACTCTCACTCGAGAGATGAGTCGACGCCTAGCTCTGTTCAGCCTACGAGCGTCGTTGACGCAATCGCCCAAACCATGGTGGGCGAGTGGATGTACAAATATGTCCGCAGGCGGAAGTCGTTTGGCGTGTCAGACTCGAAGGATTCTTGGGAGCATGGGAAGAGCACCGAAGAAGTGTCGGCTAATATCACCAGCAATGGTGTTAGACACAAGCGGTGGGTTTGGCTGGCGCCATATGAACGTGCAGTCATGTGGAGTAGCAAACAACCGACGAGTGGCACTGCACTTCTCGGTAAAAGTGGCCGCAAATGTGAGTACTATGGATGTCAAGAAGGTGGTAAAAAAAAAAGCCGTCGCTGACTAAATGATACAGTAACCATTCAATCCGTTCTTGACGTCAAGGACGATACACCCCTACCCAAGGGCTCCAGTCCCCAGAGTCATTTTAATAGGTCCATTCTCATTCTGACTCCTCAACGTGCGTTGAAATTCACCGCGATGAGTCTGGAGCGGCATTATGTCTGGCTCACGGCACTGTCGTTTTTGAGTCATTCATCCATAGGGATGAGCGATCTGGCAGCTCTACCTCCGGTCCCTCAAGATGACTTTGTGCCACCTCCTCCAGCACCCGCGCTTAGACGGAACCCTATTCGGGATTCGATCAGGGTTGCAAAGAGCAAGCCTCGCCAGCAACCCAACGCGAAGCGATCTTTTACCGCGCACCCGGCCCCTGTGCCGGAATATGGCGATAATTCGATGGACCCAATGGATGCAGCTGATCCTCCAAACGTACCACGGTTTTCGAGCCATACTCGCAGGCGCAGCAACACGGCGCCTCGTGCGCCGCCAAGTGCATTCCGCAGCTTTTCCAGTAACGCAACCGTTCCATCGACTTACAGTGGCACTACGGCGGCTTCCTCCGATCTATACACGACTTCTTCTATGGGGGGCCCTAGCTTTAGCCGTCGAACGTCCGAGGCCAGTGGGCCGTCCAGTGCTGGCACGGGCAACTTTTTTGACGCCGTGGGGACGGTGCGGATGGAGGCATTCATCGACCGAGTGGACATACCCCGGTATCGAGGAGGTAACCGCGGTCGAAATGGACCGCGGAAAGGAGACTCGAGCCAGTGGGGGCACCATGATCCGTTCGATTTTGCGAGATCCGACGATGGCAGCGACATCTACTATCGGAATGACGATCCCTTCCGGGGGTTTTAAACCCCCGCTATCACTATTGCACTACATCAACAGGTTCTTTATCAATCTCATATACATATATACCCCAGTCATTTCTTTGTACCATACTGTTTTGAAATGTGGAAAATAGATTTAATATCCCGGCTATTGGAGTTTTCTTTTTCATTTGTGACTAAAAGTGTTGTTTGATACCTCTTCATCGTCGACTCACTTCTTTTTTTCTTTTCTTGTGGGATTTTGGGTTTCGGTTTTGCCATAATTGAGAGCACCAGGGGGATAGCTGGACTGGCGCTGGTGCGTCTACATGTGCTGGACTTGGAATCTTCTGTCAGGTTGACAGCAGTGGCCTCTTTTCTTTGTGATACCACTTGCGCCTTTTACAAGGCTCATCCGTGTTCTTGTCATTCCGTCTCATTTTCAACCTTATCGCGGACGGGAGATGTCAATCATGTACAGTACAGTACGGAGTATATTCGAGCAGACAAGAACATTCTGATAACGGTAATTGGAATGAGATAAAGCTTGGGGTCGAGTTAACTTAGCAAGAAATTGTCAATTCGGGTGCCAGGTCAGATTTAGTATACAGTATGAAACAAAGAACAAATCATAGGAGCCAGCAGAAATGTTAGAACCGCGCAGATAGCAGTGCCTACTGGGTATACAATAAATAATTATCAATGTCTTTAGTTTTGATGTCGGAGAACCGATTCAGTTAGGCTGGTCAGTTTAGGACGAAGCAGCCAATCGCGAGGCCGTTGATTATCAACCATGACTACTGTACTACCTGTGGTTTAACACAGGCTAGCTCTTTACTCATCGCTATGTTATATGTAAACTCAAGAGGAAGAGATGAACCTGACTGCTTTTCCTGCTTGATTGGTGCCAGTCTGTCATCTTAGCACGAATACTGTTTATACAATGGCAAAATCCTCCCCGCTCCAAGTGACAATTCTCCCCGCCACAGAGGCGGACTGCCTCGCCTTGGCACAAATCGAGTCAATCGCCTTCAATAGTAGCAGTAGCAATAGCAGCAACGACGCCAACGACAGCCATCCTTCTTCTTCGAGTCTAGGACACGTCATGTTCGGCCCACCCAGCGCCGAAGGCCAGGCGTTCCGAGCCAAAGACATCGGAGAGAAGATGCGGACTGATCCGACGCTGAAGGTCTGGAAGGCTGTCGTTGACGTTGACAAAAACGACGATGAAAAAGAAGAGGAGGAGGAGGAGCAACACAAGAAAATCGTCGCATGGGCCGCATGGCACTTCTATTGCGATCCTTGGCCCGGCCAGGAATGGCAGGATAGGGAATGGCCCGGTGCGCGCAACCCGCAGGCTTGCAACGATTTCTTTGGGACGATTGCCCAGAAGAGGAGTCAGTATATGGGAGGGAAGAGATATGCCTGTACGCCTTTTCCTTTTTTTTTTCTGCTTTCTATCTCTCAATAACATAATCACTTTCTTTTTTTTTTGTTCTAATGTTCATATGACTAGTACTCGAAGTCCTCGTAACTCTGCCCCAGTACCAAAACAGCGGCATCGGATCGCGCCTGATCCAGACTGGTCTGCGCCTGGCTGAACACGACTTTGGTCTCGTCCACGCCTGGCTGGAGGCATCGGCCGAGGGATACCCGTTGTACAGGAAGTTTGGGTTCCGGGATGTCGATTCCATTGTTATGGATTTGAACAAGTACGGCGGGACGGGGTCGACGAGGCATGTTTGTATGCTGCGGTCGGCTGATGAACATTCGAATATTCATTCGAAGGAAGACAGATCTAACTAGATGGATGATGACTGATTGTTTCTTTTACGTGGATTTTCAAAATGAATGATGCTCGTTTTCAGTGAGGTGAATTATCTTCGTATCATTTCACATCATGACAGACATCATGCATGAATGCTTCTTTCTATACGAACAGATCAAAGACAACAGGTGTATATATCTATGACATATCTTGTCAAATACAGCCAAGTGTCCTTCCTCATGATATGATAATTATCTCTCCGAGAATCATGGCGACGACGGAAAAGATCATTATGCCGCTAAGCCCACTTCCCAAGAAGAGCCATCAGGCCCGCCCCCAGCAACACGCAGCCGATCATAAACGCCAACCGTCTTCGATCCTTCGTCCGGTCGGCGTCGAACAGGAAATCCCTTGCCAGCAACTCCACCAACCCCGTGTAGATCAGGATCCCCGCGGAGATGGAGTCCAGCACGCCGGAGACGATGTTGGCCGTGTTGGAGTTGGGGTTGTACGTGTTGCGCACGCCGAGCCCGATGGCGATGGCGATGGGCGTCGTCAGGCCGTACGCCAGACACAGCAGCCACGGCAGCCAGCTGTTGCGTCTGAACGGGATGGTGGACATGCGCGCGCCGACGCCCAGTCCCTCGAAGCTCTGGTGGAAGACGAGCACGGGGTACAGCGTGGCGAACTCGTCGCCAACAACGCCCAGGTTCAGCCCGATGATGACCGAGTGGAACATGACGCCGAATTCCAGGATCAGGAAGGCGGCGATCTGCTGGCGGAAGGACCTCTCTGCCACGGCGCTGTCGATCTCTTGCGCGTTCCAGGCGGCCTTTTGGCTGTCGCTCGAGGGCAGAGGATTCGCCTCCTTGGCTGTCGAAGAAGGAAGGTGATGCTCATGACCGCCGTGGTGGAGGTGAAGGACATTTTGGACGATGACGCCGCGGTCGTCCTGCTTGACGATGCCGTACTTGGCCTCGACGTACAGCTCTGCGGCAAAGTCCATGAGGAAGATGACGACGATGGAGGCGAGCACGATGGCAGGAACCCACGAGTAGTCGGCCCAGTGGCCGGTCATGCCGACGCAGGTGTCGGGGCCGATCTCACTGTAGGCCGGGTCGAGCAGGTGGACGAAGGCCGTGGCGATGATGACGCCGGTGCCGAAGTACCGGGCAAAGAGGTAGACGTAGACGGGGATCTTGAGCGAGGGAACCCGCTGCGCGACGACGGGGAAGAAAGTGGTCGCGGTGGAACAGACTAGGATGACGAAGATGGCCGAGATGCGCGCCCCCAGCTGGCCGTTGTAGTCGTTGCCGGACGCGTTAAGATAGCAGATGACGTCCGCCGGGTCGACATTGTCGAGATTGACGTTGGTCGGGTCGAACGAGGATGACATGGTGAATTACTTGTGACTGGAAAAGACTTGATGGGAGAGATAACGATCAGAAAAGCTGACAGAGCTGGATTCTTGTGGGAACACTTGACACAACTTATACTACTTGGTGGCCGTCAAGCTGGGGACCTTGGGGAACTGGTCAGCAGAACGATCCCACTTTGCTATGTTATTAGATCGCACCCAGATCCACTGGCAGGATATATCTGACATCGCGGCGCAGTGCACCCAAGGGAGTTGGTGAATTGTGGCTGAAGTGATGGCATATGGTAGCTGCCAGCATATCCAGTGCTTGCCTGCAGGGTCCCTACAACTTGATCAGGCATCTATGCCCATACATAATCTCTATGTAGGCAGGCGTACTACTGTACAACAGTCCCAAGGTAAACGTTTGTCTGCCTGTCATTCCGTCTGGTGCGTGTTAGGGCTAGACTGGACAGGTGTGGATCTACATGCCAACAACCAACACTGCACCACTCGTTCGACTACACGGCGACCATCCTATTTTATTTTCCGGTTGACAGGCGATGAAATGGGAAAATCGGATAAATTCCGAAGCCACGAGGACATCTACCTGCCCTATGGAGTACATGTCAGTCAATCTCCACAGGTATAGGTATAGTACAGGTACATCGTTACCTGTAGCGAATGCCAATGGATGGACATGACTTACTTCTGGATTTCAGGCTCGGCAACTTCGGCTGTCTTTTTCTGCACTGTTAGAGTCTGATTGGTCTGAATGGTTGTTATTGTTGTTATTGCTGAGAATGACGGTGAGGACCTTGGGAGAAAGACGAGGCCAGTCAGGTAGGAAATTTTGGTGGAATTTTTCTCATCTTTTATATCACCTTCCTATTTGATTTTAGTTTTATTTAAGGGAGTTCGTATTGACTGATAGTAGTGCTGAATTGTAAGGAATGATAATTGATGTTCGATTAGATTTAGGGTTATGGTCAGCAGAAACTACCATGTCTCCCTCTGGGAAAAGAACTAATCATGTCCCTCAAGAACGGAGATAAATCGAAGACACGAAAAAGAAAAACAAAAACAATCAAGTATGGCAAGATCTGGTCAATATAGTTTGATTCGCTGGAAATGAAACATGGATACATACCTACTTAGGTGGTAACGGTGGACACGACAACGACTGTGCCCACGCTTCCGGACCCAGAACCAACAATTATCCGCTCAGTTTAGGTGGACTAGATGTCGTTGGTCCATTACCCATCAGTCAGTCCATTTTGCGATGTTTGCTTGCTTTGACTTTGTTTGTCTAGAGCAGAAAATGTCAATGGTATAGTATAAAGTATCCTTTGTAACCGCAACCACAACCATAACCAAACCATAACCATTGGATACATTGTAATTACGCAAGATATTGGGTTGTGGCATCTTATTATCGTCGAATAAACTGGCAATGCAAGCAGGCAAGTCTAGCTAGTTAATTTTATTATACGACTTCTGTCCTGTCACAGTCTAGTAACAGAAGAAACCATACCTACCTGCCAGTTAACCTGTCAGTGCAATAGTCAAGCCAATGCCACGCTGATTGATCATCAGTCATGCCTGACCGTCCGATTGTGTGGAATTGAATTGAACTGGATGAGATTGAATATGGAGGAATTTGTTACCTATACGTAGGCAGGCAGGTAGGTATAGCTGTCGTTAAACCAGACCAGATCTACACTCATACTCAGGATAATTATCATCATTTTCTCCTTCTCTCAATTGCGCCTGCCAATAATCTACCTCTCGTCTGCAACTCATTTCATTCTGTTCCAGAGCTCTTACTTCTCGTCCTTCCTTCCTTCCTTAACGATACTCACTCGATCGTCACGGGTAGAGAGAAAAAAGAACAACAGTGTATATTTCTCCGCTCTGTACTTTACATGTATGCAAACGCGACAATAACCGCCGTTGGGCGTGTATGTAATGTATGTATAATATCATCTCATGTCGTATTAATAATTCTATTCCAACAGTTCCTCCTACTCAGCTCGATAGCGATAATCACCATCGCCATCATCCTCCACCTCCCCTTATTGACCCACATTATAATATCCCTCCCCTACAACTTCGCAGCATCCTTAACCTCGCCAATCTTCAATTTCGGACTGTACTTCTTCAGCACGGACTCGTTGTGGTACTACAAAAACCCAGACAGTCAGCAATCAGCATGATCCTCCCTCCTTAACCCCCTGTTGAGTCTTGACAATGCTCACCTTCCAGAACTGCTTCGTCGCATCCTTGCCAGCAACCCGCTTCAGAATCTTGGCGCCACCGGGGTGCTCGTCCACGAAGTTGGTCACGTCGTAGACGCCGTTCTCGATGATGATGTACAGGCCCTTGTCGGGGCTGTTGTGGGAAGCGACTTCGGCGGGGGTGAAGGTCTTGGACATGGTGGCTCTTCTTTCTTGTCTCTTCTTCTTTCTTGTTGCTGTTTTTCAAAGACACTTGTTATAGAGAGATGCGTATAGGAGAAATGTCAGATCGATCGCGTGCTTTTAAGCTGCTTGCGGAGAACTAATTAAGTCGGCCCAGAAATGCCGAGGTTCGCGGATATCGCCGTCAGATGAATCACGCTACTTCCCATTGGCTGCCGCCATGCTAAACTAAACTAACTACTCCCTACGGAGTAGGTAAGAGACTGAATAATCATCATACTCCATAGTTCCAGTACTCGTATACACAACGTAACTGGATTACAAGAGAAATACAAAAACGTATATATACAGATCCAGCATAACAGCTCCCGGGTATCCAGCTAAATCTTACTCTCGCCCGCCTGTCCCCGCCCCTTGGAAACCTTCTTGTCCAGCCCCAGCGTCTCCAGGTCCTTCTTCTTGTAGTAATGCGGCGCCACCTCCATCAGCCATTCCGGTTGCAGAGGCATGTTGCTCCGCATGTACTCCTTGCTCGTCAGCACCAGCTCGTGGTAGATCACCCACTTCGGGTTCACGTCAAACAGCGTGCTCGACGGGTGCAAGTACACCGTCTGCCCGTTCTTCACCGTCCGGTAGCTGTCGCCGCCCCGTTGCAGCCGCGCCGCGTTCGGGAAGAAGCCGGCCGTGAGCGCCTTCTGGATCGGCACCAGGTTGTTCTGCCCGGCCGACGACATGGTCACCTCCACCCGGTCGCACAGCTTGGCCAGCTGGTCCCGCACGTCGCGTGCCCGGTTCAGACTACGCTGCTGCAGGAAGTTCTCCCGCGCCCACACGTAGCTGAAGTCCGAGTCCACCCACTGGTTCCAGATATTCAGCAGGGTCAGGTGGTCGCCGCCGTCCTTGACCGTAAACCGCGCCCGCGCGCTGTCCGCGTGGATCTTTTTATCCTTGGGCCGGTAGAACAGCGCGCTGGCCTCCCCGAGCATCGCTATGATCGAGAGCACTTCCTCCACGCATCCGTACTTGTCCGCCGCCAGGATCGCCTTGGCCAGCATCGGGTCCGTCGGGAACTCCGCCATCTGTCGCCCGACTTTGGTCAGCTCGCCCCGGTCATTCAACGCTCCCAGCGCGTACAGCTGCTCCAGCGCCCGGATGATCGTTTCCGCCGGCGGAGGATCCATAAAGTCAAAGTCCAGCAGCTGATCAATGCCCAACGACTTGAGCATCAAAATCACTCCGCTGAGATTCGTGCGCTGGATCTCCGGGGTCGTATTATCCTCCAGTTCGTTGTAATACGCCCACTTCGTGTACAGTCGGAAGCATTTCCCGGGTCCAACCCGACCAGCTCGCCCGGCGCGCTGCGCGGCAGACGCTCGCGAACACGGCGTCACCACCAGGCTCTCCATGCCCGTCCGCGGATTGAAGACGTTTTCCTTGACAAATCCCGGATCGATCACGTACACGATGCCGTCGATCGTCAGACTCGTCTCGGCAATGTTGGTGGCCAGAACGACTTTTCTCGCGCCAGGCGGTGTCGGTTCGAAGATCTTGGTCTGCAGCTCCGAAGGCAAGTTGGCATAGATCGGGGCGATGATCATCTCGGGGATCTTGCCCCCTAGTTTGCGCGCCGTCTCCTGTAAACTCTGCTCGGCGGCCTCGATTTCTTCCTGACCGGTCAGGAACACGAGGATGTCCCCCGGGCCCTGTGTGATGTGGATTTGGAACACAGTCGTGATCGCGGCCGCCAGATAGTTGGCCTCAGGCTGGGACGTGTAATGGATGTCGACCGGATACCGGCGGCCGGGAATGTTGAAGATTGGGGCATCGTCAAAGTATTTCTGGAACTTCTGCGCATCCATTGTGGCGGAAGAAATGAGCAGCCTCAGATCCGGTCGGGCCTTGGCAATATCCTTCAGCAGACCACAGGCAATGTCGGTTGCGACAGTCCGCTCATGGGCTTCGTCGATCATCAACACCGAGTAGCCGCCCAGATCCGGCTCCGTCAGCAACTCTCGCAGTAACATACCATCTGTCATGTACTTGAGCACCGTCTTGTCGCTCGTGTTGTCTTCAAAACGGATCGAATAGCCAACTTCGTGGCCCAACTTGACCCCCATTTCCTCGGCCACTCGAGCGGCGACACTCATGGCTGCCACTCGCCGCGGCTGCGTACAACCGATCTTCATCCCGTTCTTGGTATATCCAGCTTCGTGGAGATATTGCGGAATCTGAGTCGTCTTTCCCGAACCAGTCTCACCGACGATGATCAGAATCTGGTGGTCGTGAACCGCCTGAATGATCTCATCGCGGAACTGGTAGATCGGGAGGCTCTTCCGGGTCTCCTCGATCGAAGCTGCCTTCTTCTCGGCCGCCTCCAGCTGCTGTTGCAGCAGGCGCTGCTCCTTGGTCAGCGGCTTTCGGTCACCCTCGAGTTTGGAGTCCAAGATAAAGTTGATCTTTTGGGCGTCGTCAAAGACGTATTCGTAGTCCCCTTCGTCCACAAACTCGGCGCGCGAGACCTGTGCCTTAGCCTTCGCCGTCTGCTCGCGTTCCCACTCCTCTTGCTCCGTAATAAATCGCTCCTGGCCGTGTTCATCGCGGTCGACATACCGCTTGTAGAGCGCCTCCTCCTTCTTCTTCCGGTCAATCTTCCCTTTCTCCGTAATGTAGTCTTCCGGCATCATGTAGCCATCCCGATAATCGTCGATCCGGAGTCTTTCCTCCGCGATCCGCAGGACTTCCCGGTTCCGCGCAAATTCCTCCTTCTCTCGGCGGGTGAGATTGGGGTTCTCGCGCAGCTCCTGCGTCTCCTCCGCGACTTGTCTCCGCAGAAGCGCTAGGCGTTCTGCCTCGCGTTTCTTCAGGTACTCCTGTCGAGACCGCAGACGAAGATCGGGCATTGCGGCACTCCTAGCTTCAGGATCATCTGCTAACGCTCGTCGATCGAGCAGATCCCCACGCCTAGCCGACGAACGGTCCTCGACAATCTTTTTCTTCGCCTTCTCATCCTTCTCCGCGAGACGTTTTGCAAACTCGTCTCGCTCTTTCCGATCGCGTTCGCGCTCCCTCTCCGCTTTCGCCTCCTCGTCTAGGTCAGCGGATGATGTAGATCGCGGCGACGCGGATCCATCGTCCAGCCTCGTCCGCTTAGAGGGAGATTCCTCGAACTCCTCGCCGTCCGCGCCTAATCCCTCACCCTCTGGTATCTCCTCATCACCCCAGCGACCTTCGAAGTCCTCGACATCTCTCTTGCGCAACTTCTTCGATCGGTGATGGCGATCACGGTTCTCGCCGTCTTGGCTCCGTTCTCGTTTTCTTCTCTCGTCCTTCTCGTGTTGACTGCGATGACCATATTCTTCTTCTTCTTCTGCCCAGCGGCTGCCAGAAAGACCGTTGGTCTTCGTGTCCCGACTTCTGTCTTTCTCTTTCCGTCTCCGTCGCTCGCTCTCCAATTCCACATTCGCGGGGCCCAAGGTAACATCATCCTCCATTTCCACGAGCCGATATTTCTTCTTCGTCGCGTCTGCAGAGGGTTTCTCCTTGGGCTTTTCATTCCCGCTGGGGCGGTCACCGCCACCAACCCGTTTGTAGAGCTCGCTGCAAAACGCGTCTATTTCATTGTCACTTCCCTCCAGAAATGGCATCAGTTTTTCGCGCAATGAACTCACAGACTTTGCGCCGCCGGCGGTTGCGAGGACAAAGTCGATGACGGTAGGGTCGGATGCGCCTGTGAGGCGGAGAAGGGAATCAGAGACGAATGTTCTCGTATCCATGTTGGTAGCTGCGGAATATGTCGTATCGACTCCGTATATAATCTTCCGTCACTTCACTCAAGCTGTCCCCTCCAGAGCAGTATCCTCCAGCAGGTGGTCGCGAGGCTCTGTTTCTTCAAGAGAAGATGGTTGCACACCGAAAATTCGAGCCCTTGAATGCTTGCACAGCGTAAGGAGAAAAACGCAGCCGCCTTCTGCTGGGCTCGACCTTTACACGGTCTGTGGTCGCGACCTGCGTAGCAAGGACTTGCTCTCTCCCTTCATGAAAGCGAAAGCCGCGGAGAGCTAGCTTTGCGTCCGGCGGTCCAGTCTGGGCCTCGTAAGCCAAAGATCAATCGGGTTAGCTCAGCTGCCTGTTTAGGTACTCACGTGTTGGCACGCGCATTGACCGTGTCGCAGATATTCAATTCTGCGGAGATAATTCTGTCCGCGAAGTTCCTGGATTGATTGCGGCGAAAGTCAGTTGAAACTAACTGTTCGGTGGGAGTCGATGCCAAGAAATGGAGTTCCGCTGCCACCACACCCGGTGGCGAATCGTCAGATAAGGTTGGACTGTATGCCTACGGAGTACATAGAACCTACCTATAGGTAGCTACCTACCTGCTAATATTCCATAGTCGCTTTTAGTATCTTCTGTTTGTGATATCTCGCCTCATTGCACGGTTTAGTGGGTGAAAAGTAAGAAGGGATATCAACATCAAGAAAAACTCATATTCCTAGCTAATAAAACCCACTAACTCCGTACATACTACAAATTATTCCAATTTCCTTTCCCTGATCTTATTTTTTTTTTTGAAAAAAAAAAGAGAAACAGAAATCCGTACCCTAAATCTACCTGCGCAACCATACGGAGTATATCATAATAATCCCGGATAGGGCTATACCCTTATGTATGTATGTATTATATTCTACTGCTTTCCGCTGACAACAACAAATTTGGCCCAGTGGGTTTCATGATCGTATAGTTTTAACATCGTCTTTCACACGATAGCACAGGGTGGGATTCCCGGCAGTGGAATTTTTTTTCTATATATATTTTAAATTATCCTGGGTTCCAATCCTTTTCCTTTCTGAAAGGTGTATGAAGATGCTAGTTCTGAAGGCGGTGGGATGATCGGGTGTTTTTGTACCTAAACTTAGGACTAGGTGGCGAGGACTTCCCAGACTACTTACTTACGAAGGACCTCACAAATCTACATAACTTTAATGTATTGACTGTAACGTTCCCGAATTGTAACTGTTATTCTGTCTATCTACAATTATAACTCTTGGCTCAATTATACATGTCCCATGTCAAAGGCCCAAGAAGCCCTATTCTCTGAAAAAAAAAACAGTCATCATGATAAGACCAGCAAAGAAACAAACTGTACAGGTATATTACCCCGATCTTATGGATGGAAATGGGCCCAAATCAAACAACGGTCGTTATGCATCAGTTTCGTTTCTTCAAGCACACCACATTGACAGCAGCCATGGCCAGGGCCCAGACCGAATCCAGCCCGATGCAAAAAGAAAAATCACACACAAATCAGCCAGCTTAGTAAAATACCAGAGGGGGTATGATGTTGGACTCAAAACAAGGCAGTGACCACAAACGAAAACCAGACCGAGAAAAGACAAGTTGGGTCCCTCAAGAAAAACCCACCAGCACAGTCTCACGTTTTTTCGCCCCATACGCCAAACCCCGTTGACATATGGATGATAATAAAGTACAAGGTGTCACAACCCACTCCGGTTGTAGATATGCTGAAGACACAGGATGCAATAACAAAACCGAAAAATCGTGAATGAAAAGGATCAATGATCGACCAAATCATCTCAGAATTATTGCTCTAGCTCGGCAATCAGGAGAGAAGAGAACGCCAATCGATCCAACTCCATGGCCTCGAAAGACAAAAAAAAAACGCCGTGTAACGAATGTCATGTCGTCATACTCAAACATCAATCATCTCGGCATCCTCAGCGAGCACTTCGTCAGCCGGGCCCCAGTTGCCTTCAAAGACAGTTGCTCCGGCACGCCGCCGGCGTTCCGCCCACTGCACTCCGTAAGTTTGCAAAACCTGGTCGGCGGTAGGCCGGTCATCAGGATTCGGTGAAATCATCCACCGGACGATTTTGTCCAAAGCATGATCATGGTTGGCATCAACCATGAAGCTCGGAGGCTCAACGAGCTCCCCGCTTCGCACGAGTCGGACAGGCTTGCGCGGTCGAGGTTTGGCATTGTCCATGTCGTCGGTTCCGCCCAGGTCATCTTCCCCAGCGTCAGATGCACACAACTCCTCGAAGGACGCCTCTTCTGACAGGGGGTTGCCCGATGCGTCTCGGAAGATGCTGGTTTCGGAGCTCCACGTCAAGCTCGGGACGTCGCTCATGTCGCCATTTCGGAGTTTCTGCCACGACAATCCATTGTCGGGAAGCTCCACATTTCCTGCAATCTCGAACATGATGAGTCCAAGTGCAAATATATCCGCAGGCTTGTCGTAGCGTCCCATCAAAATTTCGGGTCCAATGTATTCCCGATCCCCTTCGCCTTCGATGCCCTCTTCAGCGGGCCAGCGCGTTGCCATGCCAAAATCGGCGATCTTGAGCACGCCTTCGAAGGTGATCAAGATATTCGCCGGTTTCAGATCGAGATGAATGAAGCCGGAGTTGTGGATATGCCTCACTCCCTGCACAAATTAGCCAACTGTTGGACGGACACGTTAGGGAAAGTTCTTACCAGAGACAGTTCCAGCAAAATCTTCCAGATTCGGAAGTCATCCAGTCTAGCTTTCAATCCAACCTGGGCAAGGAAAACATCTAGGCTGCCCTCCTCGCAGAATTCTGTCTGGATGTAGAGGTGTCCCTTATCCTCCCAACTGTCGACGAAAGAAATGACGTGGTCAGAATTGGTCAGAGATTTCAAAATTTCCACTTCACGAAGCCGGCGTTCACGGTCTCTGGCGCCGCTGTAGGGCTGTTTTGATTTTTTGACAGCCCACACCTTTTCTGGCAGTGTCGTCGGTGAGTTGGTGCCCTTGTTGGGGAGCGAAAAGATCGATTTGTACGGTGAAGCATCCTGAGACTTGGAGACGCGATATACTTCCGAGAACTCGCCGGTTCCAATGAGCTCGACCTTATCAAAACGCGACGTCAGGATAGGATCCACATCCGGAGCCTTATAGCCGCCTAGCGACAGGCTCAGGCGTTTTCCAACCTGAGAGAAGTAGTCGCGGGGCGCAGTTGGAGTGGCCGGGAAAGTAACGGTGGACGAGTTGAAGTCCTCGTTACCCATTGGCGGGTCATTGAGAGCAGAGATTGATAATCCACTGGGATCTGGCGGAAGGATACTGTCTTTTGGAGTTCGTGGAGACGGATGATCAAGATTCTCATTCAACGCGCCCGCTGTTGATTACGATTAGCATATGCGACACTAGTCAGTTTCATGGAGGGTACTCACGAGTAGACGCTTGCGGTTCTGACTGTCCCTCGAGAGAGGCAACCTGAAGAGTGCCTGATCCAAGAGAGAACGGACCATGGCTGGTAGTGAAGGTCTGCTTGGTCGGTGTTGGAGGCAAGTCACAATCCGGGAGCGACTGGTTGTCGTGTCGCATCGACGGAGACTGTGACTCGTCGCCGTCAACGCTGACAAAACTATCCCGACGCGAGGTCCCGGGCCGATCAAATGCGCTGCCGAAGATGCCCGTACCCCGGGCAAAGGGACCCGGAGTCGGGCACGATTGCTGTGAATTGAACGGCGTAGAAGGAGTCGCGAGAGACTGGCGCACCAGTTTCGGTTTTTCAATGGGCCGTACCGGTAGCGCTTTCTGCCCAGTGGGAAGCATGTTGGTTGATTTTTTGCAGGGTGTGTCTGGCATGTTCTTGCCGAGACCCGACGGATTCTGCAAATCTTCGGCGTTCCGGTTCTTCTTCGAGATCAAACCGGTCGACATGAAGGCGGCCGGAAGAGGTTTGACAAGCTTATAATTCTCCGGTGTCGCAAAGGATTCGGAGGACGAGTTGGAGTCTGTCCGAGTGAACTGGCGCCCAGCGCCTGGTCTCGTAGCACCGGCAGGAAGGGACTTGGAGAAGTTGAAAACAGGTCTTGGCCGCTCCCCCTTGTGGATGGGTTCATGAGTGGGCGAATCATCTGCCACGCTGGAACTCGACGAGGACTGGGTGATGGTGCGCGACAGAGGATGCGCCGCATGAGGTGTTGCTGTAGCACCATTTTGGTTCGACGAGAACAGCGAACTGCCCGACGAAAATGGGGCTGAAGAGGCGAACGGACTCTCGCGCCCGGACGCCATGGAAAGGCTGCTGTCGAGAGACATCCGGTGTCTCACGGCCGGACTAGCAGGCGGTGATTCGGAGTTTTCGGCATTCAGCAGTCGTGATCGAGCGAAAAAGGGCCGATCACTTTGACGCTGTTGGAGAGTGGACCTCCTCAACGAGGAGGTTCGCCTTGGAATCGTCGCGAATGGGCTCGCTGGTGACTGGGGAACGGCACTGTTTTGCGCGTCGTTGTCGCGCGTTGAACCATCCAGTGGTTCGGATCCATTTTGATTGTCATCAGTACTGTCAAAGATGTTGAAGTCCGAAGTCGAGCTGGCGCCGTGAAGACTACGCCTCTTGGCTGACGGGCTCTCGAAGCTGGCCTGATCAAGATTCATGATGCCGTCGCTGCGTTTTAGAGGACTGACGGTGGACGAGATTGATCCGAGATTCCCACTCCGCCGCTTCTCAACTCGAGCGGAGGCGGGCTTGGGCGCGAGGCTGGTGTCCTCCGACGGGGCAAGGACGTGATCCGGGGGCGGGCCGTTCTCCTGTGCTTCTGCGACGGCCTTTGAGATGATATTCTCCTCGCCGGAGGGGATCACTGAAGGCTGGGCGGGAGTCGCATTACCTTGATCGCTGGAGATGTTCAATGCGCGTTTGGAGGGGCTCTTGGGAGAAGTTCGCGTCCGGGTGCTCTGTAGCGAGCCAGTTCGGCGCATAGCCGGCTTGCTGATCTTTGCGCTTGGGGAATATGAAATGGCGACGGGAGTTGATGATGAACTCGATGTTGTTGGAACAAGGAACAGGCTTCCCTGGTGTGTTCTCCGTGACGGTGAGAGGGGGGAGGAGATGAAGGGCGCATTCGGGGTTTGCGCGTGGGTTCGTGACGGCAGCAGGCGGAAGTCCGAACTCTTGGATGGTGAGCGCGACAAGGATCGACGCAGCTGTCTTATTGCGGAACTGGCATCAACATGATGCATCCCTGTCGGGGAGGGGAGATGGAGGGTGCCGCCGGCATCCCGGTGTGGCGAAAATGTCGCGACCATGTTGGGAATGTGTCCGATGATGATGATGTGAGTTGAGCCGTGAATATTCTCTTCCGCTCAAAGGCAGCTTTCTTGTTGAGAGAAGGCCGTTTCACGCCGGATATACCGTCCTTACTCTACCGTGACGATCCTTCCCAGCTGCAGAAGATCAGGAGGCTGTTGCGGCAGGATCCAATTGTACAGCACGAGGGCAGCTGGTTACCTGAACAGAGAGAGACTACGACAGAGACTGCGAAAGGTTATGGACAGGCCAAATCGAGTGTTGATGGCGCACTGATCGAGGCTGAGGCAACCCAACGCCAGTGGAATGCGGAAGGTCCGTTGTCGAGGGTGTAGAGGATGCGTCACAAAAAGACCTGCGTGAATCACAAGATCATTGCGAGGAATTCGAGAAGGTCGTCACCTCCATGCGTCCTGTCCTGCTTCCTGACTCCCGACCGACCGGGTTCCACACAGCCCTCGACCACAGGCACGCGCCTGACTGAAACACGGTGGGTTGAGGACTCCCTGGGTTCACAATGGGGCGCGTGTGGAATGTTCCAGGAGTGATGGTTGTTTTGGAAGGGCGCGAACAGGAACGCGAAGATGGATGCGAAGGCCTCTTGCGAATCAGATGTCACGGAAGGACACCGAGGAATGCAGAGATGCTGTAGTAATGTGATAAGGTCGATTGGATTAAGAATTGGAGGAACGAGAAGCGAAGAGCGTGTATCGGAGGCTCTGGAATGGTATCGAAAAAAAAAATTATGAAAGCAATGATAGCAGCACTCAGCGACACGCGGTATGAGCGAGACAATATTCAATAGGAAGATGGGTAGAAGTAGACGGATGACTGATACGCACGAGTCGAGTTCGCGACTGCAGAGGCGAAGACACGCAGAGTGAGAAGGGAGGAGAGAAAAGCAGCCGACTGAGGATCGAGAAGACAGCAGGCGCGTCAGTCGTGTCAGGCCAGGGTTGGTCTTCAAGTCTGGCGCAGAGAAGGCTGTATGGCTGCAGGGAAGGGGAGGATTGCGAGAGGCGAGGAGGCGGGCGAGGGCGTCGACAGGCGGGCCATCCCACGCGCTCGAGGCGCGCGTTGTTGTTGACGCCCAAACGGGACTAGCGCTCCCGGATGACGCGCGACGACGCGGGACCGGCTTGGCGTGGCGGTTGTTGACGCTCGCGACACCGCGGATCCTCTGACCGCTCAGCCGATAAGCAGCCATCATCCCGCAAGAAACAGTGAGCTACATGTATGTATGTACAGTACATACATGCCTCTGATGTACAGGATTACGGAGTCCAGCGCAGTCGTGTTGCACATACTGCACGTACAGCAGCCAGCACACACATTGGTAGCGATCCTTCACGGAGGTATGTATGTGCCCAACGCGGGCAGTGGGCCGCCTCGGTGACGAAGAGGGGACTCGGTCAGGTGATGGCGCCAAGACCCTCAGCGCGCCGCCTATCGATAGGCATCTTATCGGCCAAATCAGCATCAACTGACTCATTATCGGCACTCATGTCTGTCATACTCATGGCCGTCTTCCCCTTGCGTCTGCCACGGTGCCACAGTCGCCTAGATGCTCCGAGTGAGCCGAGTGAGCCCGGCCATGGAATCCTTCTCGAGTTCGGAGCAAAGTTTGCAGCATGGCTCGGTTATGCTGCAGAAGACACACCACAATCCGCCCATGATCTGTAACCCGTGTTTTTGTCCACTCCGGCCGAGGATCCTCACTACGCCGACTACGGGGGGTCTCCACCGAATTCCACACGTCTTATGCAGAGACGCACACACTGGCAACCCGACCCTGACGTGGCTTCGGCACCGTCCTGATATATAATCTTTTTTTACCTTGTCACATCTATATTTGAGGATCTAGAAAGGGGGCCTGACTGATCTATTCCTATGAATTAGTTTCTCTTATTTCCTACCTTCCTTCAGTAATAATTACTAATAAATACTCTGCCGATTGTGATGCGACATATGTAAACAGAATGCAGGATCAACGTAGTGGTACCCACACTTCTCCCAGAATTAATTTTTGGGCCTTGTGAAACGAAAACGCGTCCCAAGAGGGCAATTCCACAACATTGCCAGCATTATTAATTATTATTATTATTATTGTGTACTATCAGGGTACGGAGTACGGCATGGGAGAGCCGGTTCTGATATCAAGTCGATATCCTGGTAACTTCCCGTGTGGTTCCAATAGTTAAAGAACCAAAAGCATACTTCCTAGACATACGTACGGTTCTTGACCTAGTTAGGGGAATTGGGTCCATAGGGGATAATAGCAGTAGTAATAATAATAGTCAAATCAAAAGAAGGGAATAAACAACGAGGACCAAGGTCTGAATTAACTCCGCTTTCTTCTTCCCCTTTTCCTCACTTTCGGACTTTCCCCAGGCCGCTCCCAACAGGGCTCAACCCTGTTCCCCGCCCCCGCTGGACCCTGCATTACCCAGGGAAAAGCGTACAGAGTACGGAGTAACCCGTCTTTGGACCACAAAGTCCATCATTGAAAAAAAAACATTCCCGAAAATTGCCGTTTTCTCGTGGAAATTGAATATGTCCTTAATGTTTCTCAATAAATACAACGTTGATTACAGTCCAACCATTGGATAACCAATATATAACAGAGTAAAATGGTCAAAAGGTCTAAATATATATATAACGGTTGGATGACGTTTTCTAAAACAGTACAACACTTCTATGACAAACAAAAAATTAAAAACAACTGACCAAAGTCAAAATCACATCATTCACGTGAATCACGCCGTCTTCGCATCCTCAACCAACTCCATCATCTCTCGTTGTATCTCTGTAAGCACGCTTTCAGCGGTCGCCTTGTCCAGCCGTTCCTCTGGTGCAAAAATGCCAACGTCCAGACCCTTGTTTCGGATCGCTGCCTCGATGTCGATAGAGCTCTGTATTCATCATCTTGTTAGCATTCCAAGACTCTATCAACCTGCCAATCGATGGGAAATACATACCATGTAAACATCAGCCAAGCAATCAATCTCATTTCGTAAGACAGTATCTCCATTTGGAGGCTGGCGCTGACCAGCTGGAGTGTGTATGTCTTCGTCTTCTCCATGTTCACCGTTTTGTCTGACCTCCGGATAACTATTCAATTCTTCTGGTTCCTCAGGAGCGAACGAGAAACCATTGCTAACGCTAGTCTGCGTGTCGTGGGATTCCGGTATCCTCAAGAAATTGACACAGACATCCAACCGGATTCCGGTCCAGTCCGCGATCTCAACAAGCGACACCCCTGAGTGTTCGATTGTACTGATCTCGTGCAAATCATTCTGAACCTTCTGAGCAGTTCGGATGATGGACGAACCATCACTTGGATTCTCAATCCGCAGAGGTACCATATTCAGCGTAGGCGCGATCAGGTCTGGTAACCCTTCTAGTGCATGAGCTCGGTTGGCAAGATAGACCCCTACCACAACATCTGTCGGCGGTGCCTTGTCATTTCCGTCATTATGGAGGTCCTTCAAAATGATCCGGGAATGGATTCTGGCGTATATTGCCAAAAACAGAGCCTGAATACTTAGACTGTGGTGCCTTGCAATCGCCTCAATCCCGGAGATATCGGCGATCAGCCCGGGCCGATAGGATCGCTGGATCTTTCCGTATGAGATTGACTTGAGACTTGAATTTGGCTTCCCATCAATCTGCGAGAGGTAGCGCGTCCAGAACTGCTTTCGTACCGCCGACGACGAGTGTATTCCCTGATATGCGACAAACTCGGACAAGTTGACCTTGGGAATTTCGGGTTCTTGATCCATGCAGAATCTGGCCAGGAGGTTGATCAGCTTGGGAAGGCTCACAGCATCATAAAGAGCGTGATGGATCTGCAAACTTATTATCGTCCCACTCTGTGTCTCGCTCGCGTGAAGCGATACTGGTCCGGACATGATCCCCCGTTTTGAACCCGTTCTAAATTTTCTGCCGTTCATCGACTCGTGCCAGATAACGGGGTTTTCAAGTTCCTTAAGCACCACTTGCAGGAACGGGAGTGCCCTTTGGCCGGTTGGGATGAATATTGTACGCAGAACTGGCACCCGGCTTGTAAGTAGAGCCCAGGCTCTATCAAGCTGGGGTCTTCCAAGACGGCTTGCGGTATAGACGAAGTCCGGATAAAACAAGGCTGGATTCAACATGTTCATTGCAAGCAAATAAGTTTGCCCTGATGTCGTCGGGAAGACCTTCTCAACTTGCTGCTTTTCAATGCCATAAGTCATTAAAAGAGGATCGGGGTCAATTCCATTCAATAAGTGACCCAGTTCCACATTCGCATACCGATTGCGGAAATGAGAGTGATCAACCCCTACAGCGGCTGCCATCTTCTCTATTGTTCCGGCTTTCAACATCGCACTGACAGGAAGACTGATAGACTGCTTTTTCAACAAGGAGGAGACTTTGATCGCACTGATGCTGTCGAGGCCTAGATGAAACAAGGTCGATTGCTTGCGGATCTGTTCCTCTGGTATGCCCGATACAGTAGAAAGGACGTTGCGTATTTGGATCTCCAGATCGGTCCAATTAGTCTGATCCTCAGGACCAAGGCTGTCACTGTCGACGCCTTCCGCTTCTGCGGTCTCTTGGAAAGGAGCGCTTTCACAGACAACTATACCGCCATCCACAAAATCGATCGTGGCATGGTCAGGCTCTTCAATAATTAGACGGAACACCGTGTCAATGCGATCCAAGAGATCAATCGTGTCACTGAACCCTAAGACATCATCGCGGCCCGCTAGGCGGCAGACCATTGATCTGTCAACCATCTCCATCTCCACAGATATGGGGTATTCGGTGTCTGATGAACCGCCCACCGAATGGTAAAGTGGTTTCTGAAGGGGTTCTGTTTCCGTGGGTCTTTTCTGATAAATGAATAGAGTATCGAATAATGTTCGACCCCCAACGTTGACGCCGGCTTTTCGCAAAGGAAAGTGTTGATACTCGACAATGTCTCCCAGAGTACCTTGGATGTACTTCAACATATCCAAGCGAGTTCCATGGAGAATCGCGCGGAACGCCACTGTATTCATTGTTGGAAACATTACTTCCTGGGCGTCAGCGAAGTTCCGGCCAGACAGTACCAGCCCGAACACCACATCAAGACTTTTAAGGAAACCGGCCAGGAAAAGCGCCCATGATGTGACTGTGAGAGCTTGCACTGTGACACCATGACGCCTACAGAACTTGTCAATCTCCTCATGTGAGATGGTCAGTGTCTTTTCTGCACGGTGAACGACGGATTCGTTTCCACCGGCCCCTATCAGACGTGGGAAATGTCGGGGAGTAAAGTTCGCAAGACTTGTGCGCCAAAATTCTTGAGCCTTGTCTTCGGCAGAAGATATTATTTGCTGCAATATATGTTCATATGGTGGCCGGTAAACTGTCTTGCCAGAGTAGCACCTCGCGACGTCTCTATGGAGCAGCTCCAGTGACCAGCCGTCATACAAGGCGTGGGCGATGGACAAAACAATGAAACGCCTAGCTCCACTACGCACGGCGTGTAGTGTAAATGCCAAGCGGTTCAGATTGATGTCTCTATCACCCTTTTGTTGATCTTGAATGAGCTCTTCTATCGACTGTCCATGTTGATCGAAAACGGCGAAGTCACTTCTGCCGGGTGGATGGACAATTTGGGCATAGGTGATCGGGATTTCTGGATCCTCTATCTCGACAAAGGACGTTCGAAGGATAGGATGTGCATCGACAACTGTCTTCCATGCATCAAGAAGTCTTTCTAGATCCACTTCAGGTTCAAGCTCAAGTATATCTTTGCCGTAGTAATGTTGGTAATCCGAGGCGACCATTTCTGCGATCATTGCTTCTTGAAGTGCAGTTGTTGGCAAGACGCTGACCGCGTCTTTAGGGAGCTTCCCATATTTTGCTAAGCTCGCTCTTAAAGACTTTTCGTATTGGTCGAGTGAAATTGTTGGCTTCTCATGTTCGACTTTAGGTGCCATCGACAATTTCTCAGCCATCCTCCGAATGTTGCGGCAATGCATGATTGTGCTAACCAATAGATTGATACCAGAATTCCTTAGCCTCGATGACAGCTTTATCGCGTCGATACTATCCAATCCAAGTTCGAATATAGATGTCTCTTCATGAATAGTGTCCGCTTCAACGCCAGCAAGCTCTGCAATGACTTCCCGGATTTTGTGCATCTCCGGAGTCCATGTAAATGATTCTCGTTTATCACCGTTCATATTATTTTCACCGTTGAGATTATGTGCAGTCTTTTGAGGAACAACATGTGAATTTGAACCTGTGGTTCCCAGATCTCCATGGACAGAGGGAAGGTCACTTGACTGATTATGCAGAAGCTCAAACAAAGTGTCCTTGAAGGTGAAAGCGAGCGCCTCTGCCTTTTCTGCGGAAATGGCTGTACTTTTTGCCGCAATTGTCATCGTCAAGCTCTTCTCGGAGTTGCGTTGTACTTCCAGGGCCAATGGATACTCTATATCCGCTTGAGAATCGAGCATGGTCCATACCCCTTCTGTCACAGAACGAGATGGGCCATCTTCCTTTTGGAAAACAAATAAGATCTCAAAGAGCGGATTTTCTGGCGTCTTGCCCGTCCATTTCATTATATCTCGAAGTGCCGTATGCTGGAACGGCAGAGCGGAGACATGATAGTCGTGACAAGCTTGCACGAGTTCAGCGGATGTCCTCAAGTTTTGGAATTTGATATTGCTTGGAATTGTATTGAATAATGGACCGATGACAGCTTCCGTCCCGGGAATATCAAGCGTTCTCCCGGATACCACGATACCCAAAGTAGGGACGACCGAAAAATGATCATGCAGAGCAAGCAGCCAGCACGCATGGAATATAGAATGTTCCGTGACCTGGAGAGAAGTTTTGACCTTCTCTAAAGAGCCGACGTCACTAATATTCATTTTGAAAACGACTGGATCCGAGTCCTCGGCGTCTGGACTGGTAAATATTCTCTGTCCATAAGAACCGGCAAGATGGTTGACCCAAAACTCTTCGGCTTCTGGCGTCCGACGCAAAGGGCCTATATGTAACACATCCAAAAAGGTTGGACCGTAGGATGGGACCTCTTTGTCCATATAATGCAACGCAACTCGTTCCAGCAAAAGCGGCAAGCTGTTGCCATCATATAGTGCGTGAAAAATATTCAAACACATAATGAGCCTGAGCGGGGATCTGATTATGCAAATTTCCCAGAGCCTGCCTGAAAACCCGTTGATATTTTCGTACCATAGGTTGAAAATTTGATGTCTGATGCGTTCAATGCCTTCATCGGCTGAGACGGTTGTTTCAAACCAAGGAAGCTCATCATCTTTGAGTACAACTTGAGCGTAACCATCCGGTAGAGGTATGAATTTTGCACGAAGGAGTTGGACTTCGTTCTGCGTCTGGGACCAGGCCTTTTTCAACTGAGCCAAGTCGGTAGTGGATCTCAGCTCGAAGTTGAACGAGGAGCAGTATAGGGGCTTCTGGCTCTCCAGAAAGCGAAATATCATCCCTTCCTGAAGTGGCGTACAAGGCACGATTCCTTCGATCCGGCTTGCTGAGATTCCAAGATGTTCTGCGGCGATGAGCGAGTACCTGTGAGTGAAGGCAACCACTTTTTGCTTGCTTTCACTATATAGTCTGTCTGATGATACCGACAAGTTCCGTGAATTTCGCAAAGACATGGCGATTCCTGCAACTGTCGGGTCTATGGGCCTTGTTAGCAATATCACATACAATCTTGTGGTTGCAAACTTACGTTTCATAACTAGAGATACTTGAGCGTTCTGGAAGCCAGCGCTTTTAAGAGATTTGACCAATGATATAACAGATATCGAGTCTAGTCCAAGCTCATATATGCTGGACCATGGAGATATCTTTTCCGGCTTGGTTTGAGTGAATTCTGCAAGGACCGCAATGACCTTTTTGATGCCTTCTTGGTCCATAGATCGTGTGTCAGAACCTAGGGAATCCAGTCTTTGAAGTTCTTCCAATGACATGCTCTCATAAAGCGTTTTCAACGTCTTGACATCCGCTTTGTTGTTAGGCGACAACGGAAACGAGGAGATGGGAATAATATGAGTTGGAACCATATAGCCGGGAAGTTTAGCCTGACTCGACGCTTTGATTGCGGACAAAAACTCGCGGTTATTTTCGTCAAATACAACCTTGACTGGAGCTCGGGGCTGCCCAGTCATCTTCTTTGTGACAAAAGACACCAGTTGTTCCTTTGCCTGACCTGGGTGCTTAACCACTATGGTTGCGACTTCCCCTAACTCCGACGTTGCACTTTGGATAACCGCATTAATCTCGCCAATCTCAAGGCGTTGCCCTCGGAGCTTCACTTGGTCATCAATGCGCCCAAGGAATTGAAAACTACCATCATACAAAATCCTCACAAGGTCACCCGTTCTGTAGACTCGTTCCTGAAACTCATCCACGAACTGAAACCTCTCCCTGGTGAGCTCCGGACGATTTAGATAACCTCTGCCGACAAGGGGTCCGGAAACACAAAGTTCACCCATGCCACCACGTAAAACAGGACTTGAAGTGCCGGGCTTAAAGACGTACGAACCAACATTATCAAACTGAGGTCCGATGTTAGATGGTTTGCTTTGAGCAGTCATTCTGGGAAGCATAGTGCAGCCGATCGTGACCTCCGTGGGACCGTAGCCGTTGTAAATGACCTCGTACTTTCCCCATGCATCCAGAATTTCCTGCTTGAGCTGCTCTCCCCCAGTAATAAATATGCCACGGCAGAGTGATGGCACTTCGTCTGGGCGAATCAACTTAGCAAGGCTGGGAGTGAGGTCGATATGTGTGATTTGAAGTTTTCGGATTGTTCCTGCAAGATCTTGGAACAGCAGATCTCGCGGGCAGGAAGTGACGCATATCCCAACACTCCAGCTCCAGTACTGCTCCAGTACGCTAACGTCAAAATGAAAGGAAGCGAATTGGAGCCAGCGTGACTCTTCGTCCCAGTGGCCATCAAAAAGCCTGCGGAAGGCGAGCATTGCCTGGACTGCATTTCCGTGGGTTATTTCGCACCCCTTCGGTGTCCCTGTTGTTCCAGATGTATACAGACAATAGCACGTGTCGTCAGGTTTAATTGGCCGAACTAAAGAAGGAGGGTCAGATGAGATATCATCCAATAAGCCATGTTCGTCCAGCGCAATAACATTGACACCAGATAATGTCCGTAATTCGTCCCTCCTGTCCGATGCACAAAGGAGTAACCTAGAGCCGGAATCTTCAAGGATGAATTGCTTTCGAGCCAGGGGTGCACTTGGATCTAGTGCAACAAAAGCACAACCTGCCTTTAAAATACCGAGGATCGCGAACGACGCCTCAGGGCATTTATCAAAACAGATCGCAATCAGGTCCCCGGGGGTAGCATCGAGTTTCTGTAGTAACCTGGCAATTTTGTTACCCGCATTATCGAGATCATGGTAAGTCCAAGTGCGCTTCTCAACCCCTTCAGATGTGATGCTTGATGCGAATTCGAACGCAATTCTTGTGGGATATCTTTGAGCGCTCTCCTCGACGAACTGATGCAGTAACTCGACAGATGATGGAAGGTTCGGTTCTCTGGACGGTGTTATAGAAAGCATACTAGCCCGTATCCCGGAATTGTCGCTGGATTGGGACTCTGGAGAAAACAAACAGTCCATCAGGAGATCATCTAACTGCTCTAATATCAGCTTCGCTTGTTCTTGCGGAACAATATCGCTTCTATGTGTTAGCCGTAGCTCGAGTTCGCCATGACGCGGTATCATTTCAATCGATATAGGATACTAATCACCCGTCAGTAGATCGCTCCTTGATAGAAAAAATTGGATGAACATACGTCGATTCTTGCATCCTCTTCAATTATCTGCCAAAATTGAAAGTCCTTTCTCTCAGTAGAGAACTTCTGGTAAACAAATAGCGTGTCGAAAAGCGCTGGATCGACATCAAGCCATCTCTGAATTTTCGACAACGGAGTGAACTGCCTTTTTAGAAGGCTCGCATTGGTTTTCATAACGGAGCTGACGAGATCGAGATTGGTCCCTTGAACGTGACATTGAAAAGGAAGTGTCACAAGACATGGGAAAACAACCTCTTGTGCATCCTGAGATAGGTCACGGCCGGAAAAGACAACACCAAAGGTAATAGCAGTCTGTCCTGTATACGCCGACAGGAGCCGAGCCCAGGCTGCTTGGCCTGCTGCTTGCAATGTGATACCCAGCTCTCGACATCTGTCGTCGATCAATTTTTGATGCTTAGAACTTAGTTTAGTAGTGACCAGCAATTCCGCCTTCTCAACACGTATGGGACTCAGATCTGGGAACTTGACCACCTGGTATTCTGACCCCAGACCCTTCCAAAACTTCTCCAAGTCTGGACTCTCAGAGGTTGCAGTGGTAAGAATATGACCGAGAATCAAGTTATTTGGAACAACTCGTGGTAATTGGTTTCCTCTGTATGCATCTGCGACATCAGACAGAATTGATTCCAAGGACTGAGCGTCGTATATTGCATGAAGTGCTGTAAATTCGACTTCCGTGGCGGACCCCAAATCCCTTACGACAAGAAACCACGGAGGCAAATGGAGATTTTCGCACACGTACGTGCGCCGACGATGCAGCTCTGTTTCCGAAGTGACGGTTTTGGACTCATTCCACGGTAACGTTGTTGAATTCTCCCGGTATGTTATCATAGCGAAAGGAAATTGCTGATCTTTCAAATGAACAAACCCGGTCCGTAGCATCTCATGCCTGGCTATCGTCCTTGACCAAGCATCTCGGAGAAGGTCCATATTCAGAGGGATCTGAGATCTCAGCACAATACGATTGAAGTAGAGATTGCCATCTGAGTTTGTGAACAAAGCTAGCATGCCGGACTGTACCGGCGTGCAAGGACGTATTGATTCGACGTGCTCGTCTGAGATACCAAACTTCTCACATATATAGCGTCTATTCCTCAATTCGAAGGACAGAAAATCAAAAGATTCAGTGACCGCTTTGGAGGTTGACCGTGCAAGAAGTGACGCTATTTGACCCATACTCGGCGCCTGTTTTCATGTCAGAGTCGATCTTCGCTCTATGGATTATAAGTCCTTACCTCGAGGATCTCTACAGCAGGAACGTCATACCCCAAGTTTCTCAAAATAGCTGATAGCTGTACCGCGTTGATGCTATCGAGTCCCAGTTGGAATATTGTTGTTTCAGGCTTGATAGCACTAGACTTGTAACCAGATAAGTTGGACAGAACGTCTCGAACCTGACGCTCTTCTCTCGACAGAGCGCGAGCTACCGAATCGTGGGTATGCCTTGTCTCGCTGGACTCGGGAGTCTTTGTTTTGATCTCCTTTGCTGCCATTGCAATTGATGGTATATCACCCGCGAGGATACTCGGATCCGTAGCTTGAGCAGAAGGATATCGTATTGTGTGACTGACCAGAGCAGCAAAATCCTTTGCAATCTTCTCTGTATCCGAGGTAGAAACATGCAGGGAATCTGAATGCAAACAGACAGTTATGATATTTCTCTCGCGAGAAGGGGTGATCTCAATGATTATGGGAAAATCCATATCTCCTTCCTCAGAGACCAGTCTCCACAATTTTCTTTCCAACTCCCTGGGCGGAGGTTGAAGAAGGACAAGGGTGTCAAAAAGAGGCGAGACGTCTCCAGACACGCTCTTCTGTATTTGCCGTAGTGAGTAGAGCTGATGAGGCATGATATCAATATTAGTCCTTTGAGCCAGCTTCATGATGTCAACGTTCATGTCTGTTGAAGACATCTGTATGCGAATTGGAAGGGTATTGAAGCATGGTCCAACAATTCTCTCTACGCCGTCTAACGGTATCGTTCGACAGCTGAAGACATTCCCGAAGCAGATATCCAAAGAGTCTGTGTACAGGGCTAGGGCTCGAGCCCATGCAGCATGGAAAACATTCAATGGTGTCACTGAGAACTCCTTACACATTGTCTCAAATAACTGGAGAGAAATGTCAATGTCAATAATGTGTTTTCGGTGGCGCTGGCTTTCTGAACTTCCCTTCGTCCTTGGCCAGGGGCACAAGAGTCGAGGAGAAAACCCAGAAAGGTACTGGCGCCAGAAAATTTCCGAATGATTTTGGTCTGTGGACACCATATATCTAATGAATTGATAAAATTGAACGGCCTGTGGCAACTTTTCCCCTGCATATGATTGCTCGACTTCCTTGAGTAGATGTGACACGGCCTCACCATCATGCAGTGCGTGATGTATTGAAAAGAGAAGCATTGCCTTGCCACTGGCTTTATCTTCCAGGACGGTGATTGAGTAAGGCATTGAACGGAGATCCTGAGCCTGACCTATGAAGCGAGACTTTTGCTGCTCCAATACCAGAGGCATCTCATCCACAGGCGTCTCTAAATAGCTCCAAGGCAAGGACACCTGCTTAAGAATTACCTGTGCGTAAGCAAACCTAGCATTGCTCGTGGTAGTGAAACATGTCCGCAGAATGTCGTGTCTGGCAACCATATGTTCCCATACTTGTCGAAGAATCTGTATATCCCCGTATACCTCGAATACTAAATGGTTGCAATAAGCGCTTCCGTCGTTAGAGCCTTTGCGCGAAAGCATTGCTTCCTGCAAAGCAGTGCAAGGAATGACCGATTCCACAAGACTTCCGTTCTCCTGGAAATCGGATTTTATTTTCTCAATGAATTCCTCGTCAAAGATCTTCTCTGTGTCTGTTCTGGAGGCGATCTGTGACTGCTTATCATTCTTCGTGATAGCTGCGGCCAGCTGAGGTACTGAACCATGCCGAAGTATGACAGATACATCTAGCTGGCCAAAACCAGCTTGCCTCAGTCGCTTTGAAAGATAGATCGCCGATATGGAGTCGATGCCAAGGTTGTATAATGAAGTGTTCGTGTGAATATTCTGTAAGGGAGTTTGTGTCACTTCAGAAACAATCTTTGCAACTGCGTGTTCTGTCTCGGAGAATTCCCGCCTCTCTTCAGATGTCCCTCGTGAAGGCGAAAATCTTTGCAGCTCTTCCAAGCTCATCTCCCGGAAAAGTTTTTCCAGCTTTCTGCTGTCGATCTTTTTCACCGTTGTCATGGGAATCGAGTCTACAGGTATAAAAGACGAAGGCACCATATAATTGGGAAGTGCTGCACATAGATCCTCGAAGAGATCTTTGATGACAGAGAAATAATTCTCTTTGTTCCCTGCATCCCGGGGAAGGCCTGCAGGCACCCAGAAGGTGATTAGTTGCTGCTGGTTGCTGCTTTCTTCCCTCACGATCATTGTTGCGCAATCTTTGACGGCTGTGTTTTGCAACACAACGCTGTTGATTTCACCAAGTTCAATTCGTTGGCCACGGAGCTTGACTTGATCATCTCGGCGACCAGTAAATACCAGCGAGCCATCTGAAAGCAGCCGTCCAAAGTCTCCCGATCGGTACAATCTACCGTACAAAGGGTGATTGATGAACTTTTTGCTCGTTAAATCTGGCAAGTTGAGGTAACCTCGGCCCTTGAAATCCGTTAGAAAAGAATACCTCACAGGTATATGATTGGAAATTCCGTACAACTTGATCACCGCCAAAGCAGAACTCTCCAACCCCACCACGGGGTACCAAGGAGAAGTCTTCATCATCTGAAATGACGAGGGCTGACGTGTTTTTGAAAGGTTTTCCAATGTTTCGGATGGAATCAGAAAGTTTGACATTAGGCCGGACAGTGCAAATATTTGTGGTCTCACTTGGACCGTAACCTGCATACACTCTAAATTGAGTCTAAATCCTGAATACAGAAAAGGGGCATAGAGACTCACCTTGATAGAGCCCGTTTCCTGCCCAATCTTTGTGGACTTTCGCCGTCAGCCCTTCCCCAGCAGTAACCAGGAACCTCACTCCTGGTACATTTCTGGGATGTACAAGAGAGGCAACTGTGGGAGTGAGGCTTAGGTGTGTCACCTTCCTTGTGCGAATAACTTGTTCGATATCTCGAAACATGACATCGTTTACTGCTGAACAGAGTGTCATGCCGTTATGCCATGTGAAAAATATTTCGAACACCGACACTGCAGCTTGTCAGTTCCGGGTAGCATTTGAACAATCACAGAGAAAACTAACCGTCAAAAGCCTGTGAACATGCTTGCAGCATCTTGGCTTCATCTCCAATTGGGTATATCTCGGTGAGCACGGCGATGTTGCTCTGTAGATTGTGATGTGTGATGAGTACACCCTTTGGCTTCCCAGTGCTTCCAGAGGTAAAGACGACATATGCAAGATTTGTGCAATCATGCGATGAAAAAACATTGGTGTCTGGGTATCTCTCTATATTAATACTGTCAGACTCCACGAAATGCAGTGTATCCGAAGAATGCAAGGAAGATCGAAGAGCTGAATTGATAATACAGAGACGGGGGTTAGCCTCCGTCAAAACAAAATGAATTCTATCGGGGGGAGTTTGCGGGGTCAAAGGCACGTAGCCTGCGCCGATTTTTATCACAGCCAGTATTGAAATGTAGAGGTCAAGGGACTTGTCCAGGATGATGGCAACGAGGTCGCCGGCAATAACACCGAGACTGAGGAGATAGTGAGCGAGACGATTTGCGCGACTGTTAAGTTCATAGTAGGTGATGCTCTCTACGCAAGCATCACCAGAGTCTGGGTTCAGAGAGTGCAAGAACTCGATTGCAATCCTATTGGGGTCGTCAACCGCCATCTTTTCAACCCCGTGTGCAAGGCTCGGCAGGTCGATTTGCTGTTCAAAATTGAGATTTTCAATCGATAATATGGAGGGAGACAGACGATCGTTGACATGCCTAATTGGAAGATCCGGTGATTGGATGAATTGAGCAACAATCATGTCAATCTGCTCCAAGAAAATCTGCACCTGTGCAGTCGGCAAAAGAGAATTCTCGAAAATCGCGTACGCATGAATTCTACTGTCCTTGGGCTCCAATTGTAGTGTCATTGTAAACTCCAAGAAATCAGCGGCTGCGATCTCCTTGAAAACGCGCCTAGGTTTCTGAGCTGTCCATGGCGTCTCCTGCCAGACAATCAAGCTATCAAAGAGAGAGTCTGCCAGATTGATTCCAGACGCTTTCTTAATCTCACTTAGGGATAGATCCCCATATTCTAAGGAACGTCGATTACTGTTATGAATTGCAAGGATGAGATCGGCGACAGTCCGGACCCAGTTGAGATTCAGACGGGTGGGAAGAACACGTAGGCAGGGTCCAATAATGGACTCAACACCATCCACAGGTAGTGTTCGGCCAGAGAAGACGGTACCAAAGACGACATCGGGCGCTCCGAGGTACGAAGACAGGAGATATGCTAAGGCAGCTTGGAAGATGGACTGCCGACTGACGGATAATGACCGAGACACTCTATCAAGTTCCGGTAACGAAAGATCTAGCAGACGATCAGCAGTTCCTCTTCCCCGAGGAACATCAATTCTATCGTGGAAATTTGGCCAGAGTGATGGGACAACATCCTGTAGATGATCCCGCCAGTATGAGGTTGACTGGACGGCGGAGTCAGAGCGACTGAACTCCATGTAATATGTGACGACATTCGCGTATGATGGCCTTGAAACTAAATCTTCTCTTAACAACGCAGAATGGAGGTCGTCTAGGAAAAGGTCCCAAGACCATCCATCATAGAGTGCGTGATGTATCCGAATAAGAGCTCGAACAGATTTGTTTTCATGCCTGAACTGCACTTTTAATGGGGTCAGGATACCACCGTCGCTGCTCAACGTCCAGTCGTATTCGAAAGATGCCGTCTCCTGGAACTTGTCATGGTCAAGGGTCTTCCATATGAATCGACAAAAGGCGTTTCCAGAGAGCCCAATGTGCACGAAACCAGACCGCAACATGTCATTGTGCTGAGCGACCTTGCGGAATGCTTCCTTTATCAAGGGAACCTCTATTCCCTGGTCGAACTCGAGTTCGATCCAATTGCAATATGCCTTTGGATTCTGAAAAGATTCTGAAAGCATTGCTGCTTGGATGTGGCTGCACGGCTCCACATTTTCTATCTCAGAATCGAAACCAACTGACCGGAGCACCTCCAACCCGGTTTTCCGGATAGTTTCCAAGTCATCCTGAAGTTTCAAATCCGCCGTCTTTAAGGCCTCCTTTTCTGATTTCTTCGCCAGATGCCAGATCCCTTCGACGGAATCCGCAGTAAGCAGCTTCCCAACATCAAGATTGACCCCGATAGCGCGTAATCGCGAAGCTAGCTGAATCCCAGACAGTGAATCAAGACCTGCCGCTGCAAGGCTCTTCAAGTTCTTAGCTGGTATGTTGAGCGTCTTACTGACACAAAGAGAGATCTCTTCTTCAAGCGAGTCTCGATATTCCCTATCCATCTCAAAATTTGCCGTTCCATTTTTCCGAATATACTCGGATTCCATAGTCTTCCGATCGACTTTTCCGGACGCCAGTCGGGGGAATTCGTGGACGAGGACAAAATCTCCAGGCACCATATAGAGGGGAAGCCTTTTTTGACAAAATTGACGGAGTTCCGCTGGCGTAACATCGTCTCTGTCAACTAATGCCCACACAACCAGTATTCCGTGAACAACGATGGCCACCGCGCTGCGAACATTCTGGGCCATGCAGACGACATTTTCAATCTCCCCAAGTTCCACCCGTTGACCTCGTAACTTCACCTGCCCGCTGGATATTCGACCGAGACATTCAATATTGCCGTCGGGAAGGAAGCGAGCCTTATCTCCTGTTCGATACAGCCGACCGTACTGGGCACTATCTAGAAACGCCTTTGAATTCTCGGCTGGACGGTTGATGTAACCATTTGTGAGTTGTGGTCCACCAACGACGAGTTCCCCAATCTGACCTATCGGCAGGATTGCGGGATCTGACGTGTGGCCATCACTGCTCTCTTCGAGAGATACCACGAAGGCCGAAACGGTCTCGAAAGGTCGCCCGATTAAGTTGACCCGGGAATCAGCTTGGAAGTTCGGGGCGGCCGTGCAATGAATGGTGGCCTCTGTTGGGCCGTACATCGCATGAAGGATTCCTTCAGTGTTCGCGGACGATCCGAATTCGTCCACGACACGCCTCGTGAGCATTTCCCCAATGGTGAGGAGAACCTTTAGGGATGGGGCCGCTTGTCGGCTGCGCAGAAGCTCTCCCGCCACTGTGGGCGTCAACTCGGCAGCATCAACCTGCAGTTTCGTGATGACATGCGGAAGATCACGAAGCATGGCAGCGCGATCACACCCTACCAGGGTTGCGCCCCTGGACAGGGGGAAGAAGACCTCAAATACCGAAACGTCAAATGTAGGGGACGCAAATTGAAAGAACCGCCTGAACGGGGGTATCAGCTTGTCGTGGGCGAGCAACGACTGGGTGGCCGCACGATGGGGGATTCCCACTCCTTTCGGTCGTCCTGTTGAGCCAGACGTGTACATGACATATGCAAGGTTCTCTGAGGAGATTTCTCCAGAATTTAGAACCGTCGACACATCTTCAGCGTGCAAATCATCCGTCAGGACCACTGAAATGCCCTCCGCCGTTGCCAGCTTTCCTCGGAAAGCACTCAGCGTGACGACGACCTCCGCATCAACATCTTTGAGAATGAAGTTTATACGATCCTCGGGCGAATCAGTACCCAGAGGACAGAATGCGGCACCTGCTTTAAGAATCGCCAGCCAAGCGATGTAAAGATCCACCGACTGTGGTATGAGTACAGGGACGACAGGGTTTCCTGGCCGTGGTTGAGACGAACGGCGTAGAACCTCTGCAATTTTTGCTGCCAGTGCTGTAGAAAGCCGATCCAAGTCTTCGTAGGACAGACTTTGGACTGTCTCATCGGGGCAGAGAAATTCAATGGCAGGACATGACTGTTGCCCACGACCCAGGGCCAGCTGGTGAAGCAGTTGCGGTCCCGGCAGGATGCGGGGATCGAGGGTTGGCGATAGACAGCTGCGGTGACTCGGTAGAAGGAATCTGCACCTGTATATCATGAGACAGAGCATGTCTCTGGATGATCGGCTTCAATTGGCGACCAATTTGGTCCAAGCTGGCCGGTTCGATCCCGACATCAGACCGGATGGACCCAACACCCGTCTCCAAGTTGACGTGGAGAGACAGGGTGCATGCTCCCGGCCATAGTGCTGGAGCTGCTGGGGAGGATGCATTCTGCACGCCATGGGTGACAATGGCCGTGTATCCATATGTTCCTGGCGTGGACGAGTCCAAGCTGGCGGCATGAAAGTGCTTGGTGGATAAGTCAACGCGGACGGGCTCTCCATTCAGCGCAAACACGGGACATTCCTCGCCCGTGAACGAAGACAGAAGCGACGCCCACGACAGCACCAAGACGTCCAGCGGAATTGCTGGGCCATCGAGCCGCCATTCAATCTCGCTGCTGGAAGAGAGGGCGGGCCCCCCTTTGGGAAAGATGTCAGGGAAGCGAGTGAGTCGATCCATGATTCTCTTTTCTCTCTGACCGGTCGCAATGCCTCGAGACACAGGATGCGGTTTTATCCCCGTGCAGCAACACCGAGGTTGGCCGCCATGTGTGACGAGCAGGGCGCTGGGATGGTGGTATACACGACTGCAGGTACAGGACCTGACCTGAGTACAACTACATGCCTTCAGCTCTACCCCGCTGAGGGGCAGCCTCAGCCTGCAACACTGCGTGGTCCACAGGGGGAAAGAATGTACGAAGCGAGGGCACTGGCACCGCGATACAGCTACACAATAAACTTCAGATTCATGTGCCCTTTGCCATTCATCACACTGATTATTTTTCGAGCTGCCGCCGGCCACTGGCTGCCAGGATAGACAGACGCGCTACGCGACAGGGCGAAGAGCGACTAGGCCGGGACCAAGACTCTGTCAAGTGGAGGCGCGATGCAGGGTTGGCTCTGCTCGAGGTGATCCACGAATGAATGCGTCCAGCCGGGTCCACTGTCGGAGAAAAATCGTGCAAAAGGTGGCCAACGGACGGGCATTACCGCTGGTTAGGCACGAGGTGATCTGACATGGGCGACAAGCAAGAATGACGACAGCCCGTTTCGATGTGGAGAGCCGTCAGACGGCCGACGCACTCCCCTCGCTCTCCCTTGAGCCGGAAAAGTGGGCTGGCGACGTGCAACTTTTGCTTATTTGCTTTTTCCTTGCATGCATGATGCTTCGTATGCTTCGCCGGGTGGCAGCACTGTGCCCTGTACGGAGTATCGAGCGATGATCTCAGAACCCCAATTGTCACCTCCTGCCGCCCTGTCTGGCTGATCGATCTGCAGCACACCCATGCCTCCCGCATGCTAGTTTGCTCAAGAGGACAGACTGCATACGATCTTGGGTGGCTCACGATCCCTTCCTGGGCAGCGTTGCCGATCCGACATCGGGCCAATGCGGATCGGATCTGTCCATCTCGAGGCAGATCGGTTTTCTCCTGACGACAACCATGCCTCGGCGGGCACGCTCTCTCCCTTAGCGAGTAGCTGCGGGGCTCCCGTTCTCTGGCGGTCTCCACGCTCGTGGTGACGGGCCTCAGGTGGTGAATGCTGCCAAGCATTATCTCCAGGACCACGGCTGGGATTGGTGTTGCCAGTCATGCAGTACCTGCTTCGTTCAGGCTTGTTTCTGGACAAGACAGGGACAGACAATGCTTAGTAGGGCGCGGAATTGTTGCACCCCATTTAGTGAACTATTAAACTCACGGCACTTGCCTTGACATAACCCTAGGGTGTCTTATAAGAGCAGTCTTCCCCAAAGCCCTTACTACTGTTTTACTCAGGTAAAGTCGTCTTTGTTTAGGACCAGATTGTTGTCCTTCATAGTTCCCTCCACGGGGCTCAAGCGTCAATATCATTCACCGTTGTCCTCTCCTGTCTCCCTATTCTTCTCATGGCCTCCACGGTCCTGGAGCCAGACATGGGTTCCCAGGACAATTCTAAATCTCAGTTCCCCCTGCCGGAGCTGTCACACGTGAAATCGGTGCCAGAGGATGACTTACATGACCTTATCTGCGTGGGATTTGGTCCTGCGTCTCTTGCGATAGCTATTGCTCTGCATGATGCTCTCGACCCCAGACTCTCTAGATCACCTGCACGGGGCCACCCTAAAGTGTGTTTCTTGGAGAAGCAGGAGCAGTTCTCGTGGCATTCTGGGATGCTGCTTCCTGGTTCCAAGATGCAGATCTCTTTCATCAAGGATCTGGCTACCCTGCGTGATCCGCGGAGCGAATTTACTTTCCTCAACTACCTCCATAACAAAGGGCGGCTCGTGCGGTTTTCGAACCTCGGGACATTCCTGCCATCGAGGCTGGAGTTTGAAGACTACATGCGGTGGTGCGCAGAGCGGTTTAAGAACGTCGTGGCCTACGGACAGGAAGTTTTGGAGGTGGTCCCTGCAAAACCCCAACCGGGAAGCTCCGTCGTCGACGCGTTCATCGTCTTCTCGAAGGATGTGAGGACGGGAGTCATATCGGCGAGGAGAGCGCGACATGTGGTCATCGCCGTTGGGGGCAAGCCCAAAATCCCTCCGAACTTGCCTTCGCACCCACGAATTATGCACTCTTCCGCATACTGTACGACTCTACCAGCTCTGTTGAAGGATGGCTCCAAGGCGTATCGCATTGCCGTCGTGGGGAGCGGTCAGAGTGCGGCGGAAATATTCCACGACCTGCAGGTTCGATACCCCAACTGCAAAACGACCTTGATCATGAGAGACTCGGCTCTTCGTCCCAGCGACGATTCACCATTGTAGGCCACCTTCACTCGTCCTGACTTGGAGCGTCGCTAATGGTGCAGCGTCAATGAAATCTTCAACCCGGAACGAGTCGACGAATTCTACCGTCGGTCACCCGATGAGCGTCGCAACGATCTTGTCGCCGATCGAGCGACCAACTACGGCGTCGTCCGGCTCGAGCTGATCGAACAGATCTACCATGACATGTACATCCAGAGGGTCAAGAACCCCAACGAACAGGAATGGCAACATCGTATTCTCCCCCGTCGCCAGGTGACGCAGGTCGAATCGGACGGTCCAGATGGCCCACTTCGGATACGGATCGATCCGGTGACGTCTTCCTCCGGTCCCGAGAGGACAGAAGTCCTGGAGGTTGACGCCTTGATGGTGGCGACCGGCTACGTGCGAAACGCGCACGAGGAGCTGCTGGCGAAGGTTGTGCACTTACGACCGACGGGTCAGGGTGACAAATGGCAGGTGCGCCGGAACTACAGCGTGGTGCTGGACCCAAGCAAAGTGAGCCCGCATGCGGGAATTTGGCTGCAGGGCTGTAATGAGAGCACGCACGGGCTCAGCGACAGTCTCCTGTCCGTGCTGGCGACGCGAGGTGGAGAGATGGTAGACTCGATTTTGGGGGACCAGCTGTATCGGCAGACGGGCAGCCGCGCGATGCTATGATGGGGGCCATGGAGAATCTCCGAGGTTGAGCGGGCGGTCTACATTGCATGTACGGAGTAATCTGATAGATGCTATTACTGTCATAAAATTGAGTTCGTCGATGCTTTGGGGGCCGTTGCAGTATACCGACAGTAACACCATGAACCACGGTTCAAACGCGCCATGCCATGCCGCCTCGTAATGGGAGATAATAGACAGTTCAGCCAGTCCGTCAGCAAGCGATACCGGCGAGGAGAGAGAAGAAGCCTCCGCGCGTATCCGGACCCTGACCCTGGTCCAGCAGTGATGTCTTGGCAGGGAGACGACAAGAGTACGGAGTATGGAGTTAGGTAACTTAAATATTTAGCTTCTTAGTACGGAGTACTACGTCGGTCCAGCTACCACCACCATCGAATAGATAGGATGGAACTAGTCAGAGCGACTGACTGCTGGAGTCACTAGAATGATAGAATCCCGGCAATGAGTCAATGGGTCAATAACCTGGCGTTCCTCGCCGAGAAAACGCCCAGCTGCTAATTGCATGGATCGAATTCTAGGGCCCAGGCTAGGAAACTTGGTCAGGGTCCGGTGCCATGCCTCCTCCATGGTCTGCGGTCCACGGTCCACCAGGCGGGCTGGCCTATTGCCAAAAAAGGAAATAGTACGATCAGATAACGGGGCCAAGGAAGCTAAGGGCGACGAAAAATTTTTATCTGATCAAACTTCATCGTCAGCATCATCACACCTCGTCATTCATCATCATCATCATCATCATCATCACTTCTACCGGGCTGGCTCCACATTGATTAATAATTAACAATTAAAATTAAAAATACCACTCATGCGGAGTATATTCTGAATTGTAATAATTATTTATTATTTTACTCGAGCAGAACGGTGAGAAGCAATAGCATGCTATCTAAGCTGAGAGCAGTTGAACTGCGGAGAGGTTACCACTAATCAATTAATAATTAATTAATTATTTTTTTTCAAATAAAAAAAATTGCTCTGTTTTCTCCTCACTCACCTCGACAGCCACCTCGACTCGAGACCAGACCGGCTTCTGCAATTCCGTCTCGTACCATAACCATAATAAAAGAAGCCAAGCAAGCCACGCCATGCCGTTCCATGAATTCGCTCCTGCTATCGGCTAGCTAGACTATATACCTAGCTGCTGACGGTGTCCTTGCCCCACGAGTCGACTAGTAGGACTCCCCGTACGGTGTACTCCGTACCTGACTCGCTAGTCTCGCCGTCTGTCCGAGGTGGACCATGTCTTGGATGATGGGCCCTTGGAAGGAAGTCCGAACCCGAGGAAACAAAACGGACGAGACGAGACGAGTCAGACGACTCGGCACGAGGTGAGAGTGTGAGACTAGACTAGCCTAGACTATTAGTATCAGATCAGTCAAATCAATCAATCATATCAGATAATCAAATCGATTAATCAGGCGGTCGATATAGCCGTACTAGATACAGAGTGCATGTACTGTACTAGTAGTACATCAATAAAACCGCTGTTATTGCCATTGTTACCGTAATGAAACGAAAAGATGGAATGGAAAAATTTTCTGTCCTGCTCGGGGGGACTTGGTTGCCCCGCCTATCTGTCTGTCTCTTGACAGAAAGAAAGAGAGAAAATCCGAGTGCTCACCATCTGTCTGTCTACCTGCCCGCACACCGTCTTCCATACAGGCTTATATATGTATATATATATAGTAAATCAGGAGTCTAGACCATCTGACTGGAATGAATGGAGGTACCTAGCAGATAGGCAGGTACTAGGTACTAGCTAGGTACATGCACTGATGTACTCCGTAGACTACGGTCTACCTCTCTGTATACCAAAAATGCCATTCTTCTAAGGACTTACTATCACTGAAGCAATGTGCTGTGCGTACATAGCATCTGTATGTTCTCCTGAATAAAACATATGTAAGCAGGAGTATGTCCTTGTCAACCACGGACCAATATTCCAGAACCACTCACTCATCACCTTTCTTGAATGCTCATCACTAGCTAGCTGCAATTATTTCCATACATACATGCTGGGTCTCTGGTATTCTTGTTCGTCAAGAAGAAAAATCATTCGACAAATTCGACAAAGGTAGACGCATGCAAGGTCATTAGCAATGATTATGTCACGCTCTATATGCTGCAATCCAAACCCAATTCTGCTGATACTGAGCAGCGTCTCTGATGCCATGCCATACTGTACATCAAACTCCCCGCTCTGGATCGTCGCCAGCAAGACTCATATACGCAGTCCCGTTTTCACCGCTATGCATCCTCAACGGAGGCTCGTACATGCGATAGTAGTTCACAATCTCGCCATCCAACATCGCCGAACCGGGCTCCCTTTTCCTGAAAATCGGCGCCGGATCGCACCAAAAATCGCGGCAATTCGTGATAATCCCACGGGAAAACGGGTTCTTTTGCCTTGCCGAGCGGCCTTGCGCAGTCGCAAAAAATGTATCAAGTCCCAAGAGCTTCTTCCACTGTTCGAAGCAGCCGTGGCTTCGATGAGGATGCGCCGCCGGGGTCGCTGCCGGATTAGGGCCATGTCCGGCCGATGTGAGGCCAGCCGCGTCAAGAGACGTAGTCCCAGCTGCCAGCGCCGAGGTGATGGCCTGCGAGTGTGGATGGGCATGCTCAATAGAATGGCCTCTCATGTTCTCATAAGTCGTTTGGTTGCGTGAGATCTGGACCAACTGCACGGCACAGAGCATCGTGACCCAGATCAGCTGAAGACTCGTCCATATCGTGAGCACAAGGGTAAAGGTATCCCGAGAAACGATGCTACACAGAACGTCATTGATGATGTTGCATTGAAGCTCTGCCGGGTCCGGTAACAGCTCGATATCTACGCTCATTAGCCTGCATTCGACACATTGAACAATGCCAACACTCACAGGAGATGGTCAATTGTATGAACAACAGAATGCCAATCTCCAGACTGACGATATACTGTACAAAATGACGGAGATTGTTCACCCCGACGCAATTGTCAATCCATGGACAGTGGCTGTCTGATGTCAGTATCGTATGGAAATCTTCCAGCGAAAGGTTCTTACTGATCGTGTTTCGCGACACATCGCCCACAGCGTCTGCAATGTTTGCTCCGCAACGGTTTCCGGACCATGCAATGAATGCAAAAGTGCTCCTCATCAAATTTCCAGTCGTCAACCAGCTCACGGATGACTTCTCTCTGCTGGTTCCTGCTTCCGAGTTTAGGCACATAACCTGGATCCTCAGTCATCGAAAGTATGTAGAAATACGTCGTGAGGCTATAGAATATCGCGAAAAAGATATTTAGAAAAGGCCGAGCCGCCCAAGTCACTATGATCGTCAGCAGCTCGTCGCAGGCCCGACTGCTGCAGGGTCGGATCTTACCAGGTAGAATTTTCATGATATATCTGACCCCGACCCAGAAGAGACTCGCAGCGAAAACACCTGCGAGATATGGCTAAGACGGGTTAGACAGCCAAACGACAAAGAGAAGAAGTTCGAGCATACCGTCCTGTGAAGCACTCGGAACTCGCCAGGTCCATTGTTGGCCACCTGTTGTGCTACCCATTGCAATCCATAGACACCCAAGGCTGCAATCGGCACAGACAAATATATAACTAGGTGACTGAGGATCCAGATGATCGCAAAGACTGTAAAGAAGGGCCAAAGAAAGAAGAACTTGGATAGGGCACTTTTGCTGTGCACGAACATCGTCAGACCCAGGGGAAGGACCTTCAGATTCCCGTCCTTATCGTAACCGCAGTCATTCAGCGCCCGGTGCCAGATCCGCGTCGTTCTCATCTCCGCAGCCACCGTTGCCGGAGTCTTGCCATCCCTTGTCTTCGCGAACCTGTCTGCGCCGTACTCCACGATCTTCTGGATACAGGGATGCGATCCTTTCACCAATGCCCAATGCAACGGTGTTAATCCACCTTCGTCCGTAGCGTTCACATTTGCACCCCACCGCAAAAACAGATCAACACAGGCCGGGAAGCCTTTATACGCCGCCCACATCAGACCAGTATGACCTTGAGGATCGGTGACATCGACGGGGATTCCCTGGTGGAGTAGCAGAGCGAGCAGAAAGGCGTTTCCGTCGATCGTGGCCAGGTGCAGAATGTTGTAGCCTTGAACGTCGGTAAGCAGAGGGTCGGCGCCTCGTTGAAGAAGGAGGTCGACGATATAATAATGACAGCGCTGGGCAGCCCACATAGCAGGTGTCGCGACAGACTCTCCTCCCTTCGCGTTCACGTCCGCTCCGGAATCCAAAAGGAACCGGCACATGGCATATTGATTGTTGATAGCAGCCCACTAAACACATCAGTAAACGAATCCAACAGCTCGAGAAGAAGTAGGTCCTCGGAACAAAAGACAAAGGCATACGTGTAACGGCGTTATCCCTTCCTCATCTTTATACTTCGCGTTGTACTTCTTGCTGTCGAACAACTTCTGCATCGCACCGATTTCACCCAGTCGAGCCAGCTGCATTATGTCCTCCTCAATTGGCAGCGACGCCTTCGCTCCGTCGCTGCCGGATCGCATATCCTTCAGCTCGACGCCATCGTTCGGTTGCGTAACTTTCGGGGGTGCTGGAGCGGCCTTCCCTGTTGGCGCCGAAGGGGAACTGGGGCTCACAGGAGTATCGTCTGAGGAGAGCGTTCCGGAGGTCATGATCGATTTGTTTTCCTCAGCAGGCGATCATAAACGGGAAATGATGTTGCACTTTGGTAGGTAAGCACCGAGAGAGGGACAAAAGGCGGAGGATGAGTCGGATTGCTGTATCCCCAAATGCGCAGCTACAATGCACTCTGACCTTGCATGATCCTCATTTCAATTAGTGATTAAACTGATTGCAAACCCTTGACTACCAAGGGTGTCAAGGAGAAGAAAATCAACAACGAGGGCTGGGGGAAGCACAGCTTTCCATGTCTTTTTTGGGGGGATCTTTGCGCGAGTGCATTAATTAGGCGGCTTAGCTTATGTCCCGACGTGGCTCGGCCGTGCCGCAACGAGGCTGAGTTCCTCCTGTAGATCAATAACAATTGACAACTAAGAGCGTTATAATCCTAATGATGACCAATACTGCGCAGTCTTTAATGAGCTATCAAAATCCTACAATATCGAATTTATTTGTAATCAGAATCTGCTTGAGGCTATTTTCATTCAATCTCCATTTAACCGGGTTATCTAGTGGCACCCAATCCGCCACTATTATTATCTGGGTTTATCATACACATCATACAGATAACCAGACACAACATGTAACCAAAGTACAAGAATGCTCGTCATACCCTGAACTCCGCTACGACCGGAAGCAGATAATGCTGACAGTTAGAATTGTTAAACCATACCAAATCATGCAAAGACGACGCCAAATATGCGAGTTCAGTAGGTTGTTTCCACAAATCTTTCTGATGCGTTAAAGACATATACACGAGTGCCAAAGAATCACGGATTATCCGGCGCTCCAGCAGCGATCTCTTTTGGTGCTGATGTTGATGCGATGAGCGCAGAATCATCGCGGCCCTCGCCCAGCTGTCTCGTGTCCAAGGTCATGTCTGGTCGAGACCTCTCACTGTAGCTCCGTAGAAATTTGGCCTCACCCATAAGCATATGGGCGTCGACTCGCAACTCAAAGTCGGTGAGGAAGCAGAAAGTGATCTCGAGACGAGTGAGCTCCCGCTCAGAGACACCACCGACCCGCGCAAAACGGCTGTGTGGATAGCTGAGATCTTCCAAAGCCTTCATTGCAACCCGAAGACCAGCAAGCACCAGTCGATGGACATTGCGAGGGGTAACCAAGATGATCTTTTCCACCATCGCCATCCTCGTGATGTAGAGACTGGTAGCTAGATAGACAGCGGTAGACATCGGACAATACTTATGCAGCCGTAGCAGGTAGTCCTCCAGTGAAATCGGGGGAGCTTTCTTCGAATAGAACCGCTTCGCCAAAACATTCTGCTGGACTGTTCCGGGCGGAGTCGCGCCATCAGAATTGCTTTCCGCACCAGACCAGTGAAGTTTGGTTGCCTTCGATGATGCATTGTCCTTTGCGACGCGGGGTTCGGAGCTTTCCAATGACTCGCTCGATGCAGATGTAGGGGCCATCAGAGTGGTAGGAGGCACGTCGCCAGTGATTTGAACAAGATTACCCAGATGGGCGGAGAACATCTTCAAAGCCTCCATTGGCGCAATGTCAAAGACTGCTGAGTCGCCGCTAGGTTGTTCATGCACACCTGCAGGGTTTGTATGCTCTTGAATAACCGGAGGATCAGAGCGCTGGGAGGATTCGAGGCGCGCATGTTGAGATCCAGCGGAATCGACTTCTTGACCCCCAGCAATCTGGCCGTGGCTATTCATCGCGCCAGTGTGTTGTGACATGTCGGCCTTCTTCGCTGAGGCTCCTCAAATCGACGCGACTGCGGTTTTGGAGCTAGAAGACAGTAAGAAATGAAAACAGGCGCACCTGATGCTACAGGCGGAAGTGACTTCTTTGATAATTGTTTCATTGTATTCTCGCGTCCTTCGCGGAATACTCACGCGACACGCTGCCGACCCTGACTAGATCACTCTGTGACTGAGCGGAGGAGCCGCCCATGCAGAAAGGATGGGGAGAACAGCGAGCGGAATCACGAAGAACGAGTATGTGGAGGACTTGGGAACAGCAATGAATTAATTGACTTCACAGCCCCATGTCTTGGTCATTTCTACAGAATACCAGCTGGTTAGCAAGAGGAAATTCCGCCCAGAAAGGACAGGTAGATCTGCTCACAAAGCCATGCGGAAGTATGCAAACGAGCCGGAGTGAAAGTGAACACCTATATAGCTTGATAGTAGGGAGTCATCTGCACATTACAACTGGTTTTTTCACAGTGGAAAAGAAAACTGGACCGAATTACCATTCTGAAAATTCTCGGTGAGATTTGGCCTCCTGCTGAATTTTTTAGCCGGGGATTGCTGCAGCGGATCCTCCGTCCCCAACCCCACGCGGCTCCCGCCCTTAGCGCTGCTAGCCGGCAAATCACACTGCATCTTTGGCATTCATGCTGCTATTTATGCAGCTGCTCCAGATGAAAAATCCCGAGATCTGGCATAGACCTTCACCAGCAGTTATTCCGCATCCTTAATTTACTAAAACACAATCTTAGATGAGCATTTGTACAATACAATCTGTTTGGGAATCTAACCTGTTTAAGATGACATATCTCTACAAGTATTTACAAAGACAAAATCTTGGACAGAAGAGAACATAGAGAAGTTGTATAAATGTACATGTATTTGATTTGGCAGGAGCTAACTATACTCACTTGTCGAAACTTGGCCTGGGAATTAACAAATACAGGGGAGAAAAAGAACGATTGGATGCTTGAAATGACAGCGAGGCCGCAAACATGGACAATATAACAGCGACAAAAAGAAAAGCAAGATTGGGTATCTGCTAATTTTACACTCTTGAACAATCACAGTCTGTGAATGCCATTTGCCAAGTGAAATAGATGTATTTGCGAATTTCTCGCCTTGGATCAGTTTCGAAAGTGATCTTTGCTTAACACGCTTAACGACGCCCGAAAACACCGCGTAGGAAGCCTTCTTTCCTGTGCCGCGCCCTGGCCTCCGCAATGATCCGCACGCCTTGATCTCTCAGTCGACGGTTACCCTCTTGAATGATCCGTGGCGGCGTTCGCTGCCATGCAGGCTCTGTCCGATGTGTCTGTATATTTTCCTGCCTATTTCGCTCGACTGATGGCTGTGACGAAGAGTTTCGGTCAGTAAACCGGCGGTGACGTTCCGTCTCTTCAACATGTCTCTGCTCTTCAGTGGCGTCTTGGACAGGCTGTCTAGCACGTCTATGCTCCTGTTGGGCAGGATGATGTTGTCGGCGTTCACTGCGTGCGTTATTCCCTGCATCATGACGAAGGACATCATGAACTTCTTCATCGTACTCGGTAAACCCGGCGAATCGAACATGTCGATGTGCAGGTGAATCTTGTGAACTGTGAATGTCTGTTGCTTCAATTGGATCTTGTCCGGGACGGTTGTGGATTATCACTGGGGTAGATGGCGCAGTTTGCGGTCGCCTTAGAGGGACGCGTTCAACCGCCGGACTTCTTTCTCTTGGACGTCGCGGCTGCCTTGTAACAGGCGGCGGTGACGATTGTCTTTCGGTAGACTGAGTGGAAATGATCTCTCGAGGCAGAGATGAGCTGGCAGCTGGCGGCCGGTAGGAGTATGGTTCAGAAAACCTACGCGATGACCGGGGTTCGCGGGAAGTAGGGTGACTGTTACGGATGTTCTCGCGGACCCTTCCATCCTGCATGCGCTGATTTCGGGCTTCTCGTGAGCCTCTCCTCGAAAATGGCAGCGAAAGCGCACGCAGAATGTCCCCGTAGGTAAATGTCCGAATATTTCGTCTGTTTCGAGAGCTTAGTCGCGGCTCCACCTCGACCACAGCCGACGTATCATAACCAGGACTGATACGGCTGTGATCGTATCGCCAGGCATGTTCATGGAAGATCTCGCCAAGATCATGGATGCGAGTCAGGCTGCATAGTCTGTTGCCGTTGCTGCGAGGGCATTGGTAAATTGTTCGCCTCGTGCGAACACGATCCGGGTAGACGTCTCTCACTTTCTCGATAACGCACATTCTATTTGGCCCTATGTATCTTTTGATGCAAAGAGGGACAACTTGTAAAACAAGATGTCCCTCCACAACCTGCAAGCGAAATGATGACTGGCAGTGTTAGAGAATACTGCAGAAGAGCTAGGACAGGAACGGTAGGGAAGGAAAAACTGCTAAGGGCAACAGAAGTCATACAGGCCAGCAATAACCTATGGAGCCCACTGACTCTATAGACAAAGTCTTGTGTGTTCTCTCTGCCTTCGACTGGAAAGGCAGATCGAAAAGTCATGCATGTAGCGAAACATAAGGTAGGCGTTTTTCAGTTCAGAGGTTGGCTCAAGCAGCAGATGATGCGGCGAGATCAGCGCGAGAGGAATAGAAAAATCGGAGAATAAATTATATCAGCCTTCCCAGGTCTGAAAAGTGACTTGAAGTAGATATAATGGGTAAACAAAAAAAAAGGATAAACAATAGCTGACTGGCTGATTGTTATGCTCAGTCGAAAAAAGACGGCTTTGTTTCTGCACAGGCTGTTTTGGCCATGAGGCTGGGTTAAACCTAGTATTAGCCAAAGCCATAAGGAACGAACGGGACATCCAAGGAGCAGTCCTAACATCAATGCGGGCCCATGTAGGCAACATAGGGAGAGCGATGTTGGATCTGATGAACAAAGCCGCTCTTAGGAAGTATACGCCAGTCACGGGGGCGCAGTTGCCAGTCAGCTGGCCGAACAATCAGCATCGTGCCACTGATCCCGTGAGGAAATGTCGGGGCCAGATGAGCGACGTCATAAGGCTCACACAGGCAGTATGGTCTTGAGGAGTTGTGGATGTGACCTAAGGAAGTTGGATATAGCCTGGTACATATGTATGTACCAGGTACAAGTAATTAAATCATTAGACATTAGACAAACAGCTTTACATAAACATCAACTGTGGTATCTAGGCTCTGTTGAAATCTATGCCTTGCTCAAACCACTGAGCGTAAGCCCAGAACACGTCCATGACAGCTGAAGGTGCAAGTCATTCTTTTACTATGCATGTCTGC